ATAAGGATGCTCTGGGACCTGTCCTTAGAAAAGAGTGACTCTATTATTTTTTTTTTAAAGATTTTATTTATTTATTTGAGAGAGAGAGAATGAGAGACAGAGAGCATGAGAGGGAGGAGGGTCAGAGGGAGAAGCAGACTCCCTGCCGAGCAGGGAGCCCGATGCGGGACTCGATCCCGGGACTCCAGGATCATGGCCTGAGCCGAAGGCAGTCGCTTAACCAACTGAGCCACCCAGGCGCCCGAGTGACTCTATTATTAATGTCAAGTTTATTAGGGCTGTCCAAAGAAACAGAACCAACAGAACCACCAAGATGGAGGATGAGAACCTAATGGCTCTGCTGGCAACATATATATGTAAGGTCATATTTTGCCAATTACCTTCAAGTGAGATTTAAAATATATTGTTAAAAATAAACTTCATATACCGGGGCGCCTGGGTGGCTCAGTCGTTAAGCATCTGCCTTCGGCTCAGGTCATGATCCCAGGGTCCTGGGATCGAGCCCCGCATCAGGCTCCCTGCTCGGCAGGGGGCCTGCTTCTCCCTCTCCCTCTGTCCCTGCTTGTGTTCCCTCTCACTGTGTCTCTGTCAAATAAATAAATAAAATCTTTAAAAAAAAATAAACTTCATATATATAAGATTTACATATGTAACAATGTATAAGATCACATAAATACATACAGGATTATATATATACATATATAAAGTTTATATAAGTGACATTTATTACAAGTAAGTAGCTCACACAATTATGGAGGCCAAGGAGTCCCGAAATCTGCAATCTGACAACCAGGAGAGCCAATGGTATAAGATCCAGTCTGAGTCTGAAGGCACGAGAAAACCTTCAAATAGAGTGAATTCTCTCTTGTTCAAGCTTTTTGTTCTATTCAGGACTCTAACAACTGGATGAGGGCAATCTGCTTTGCACAGTCTACAGATTCAAATATTAATCTCTTCCAGAAAGACCCTCACAGATACATCCAGAGTAATGCTTTAACCAAATAACTGGGCATCCCTATCCCAGTCAAGCTGCCACATAAAATTAACCAGTTGGCCAGGGCTAGATATGAAAAGCTAACAGAAGCTCACCCACTTGAGGTTTCAGGTAAAAAAAAAAAAAAGGGGAACTGTAATGCTCAAGCACAGGCCCAACTCTTCAGGCTGAAAAGGAAATGCTAAAGAACAGAAATGTCAAAAGTTTCACAACACTCTCCTTCTATTTCAAAAGTTATTGAAGAGAAGGTTTAAAAGGACTGAAACTGTGCTAGTTAAGATTTTGGCAAAATAAAGACCGCCTGCCAAACTGGATCACCAATGCACAGCTTGTTTCAGACATTTTAGAAACATCATTGCTGGGCGCCTGGGTGGCTCAGTCGTTAAGCGTCTGCCTTCGGCTCAGGTCATGATCCCAGGGTCCTGGGATCGAGTCCCACATCGGGCTCCCTGCTCTGTGGGAAGCCTGCTTCTCCCTCTCCCACTCCCCCTGCTTGTGTTCCTGCTCTCGCTATGTCTCTCTGTCAAAAAAAAAATGAATAAAATCTTAAAAAAAAAAAAAATCATTGCTAAATACGAATTCAAGGTGGAAACACAAAACTACCATGACAAAAAGGAAAAGGGATGAACATTCCATATTCCGTAACTACACATGCTTTTCCACCACATCACATGCACAGCTGAGCACACTATGAGGTGGTAATACATAATTTATGAAATCACATTTCAAGGTCGGAGATCTGTCAGTTAAGATGCAGTCTGGCTTTATTTGAGAGGAAGAGTCTATGAAGAGAAGGTACTGATCTTAATTTCCTCATTTGTAAGAACATCACACTGTGGTGCAACATCACCATCTATTTCCAGAACTTTTTTCATCACAGCAAACAGAAACTCCATATAGATTAAGCAATAATTACGCAGGTCCCGCTCCCCTAGCCCTTAATAATCTCTATTCTACTTTCTGTCTATAAATTTTCCTTTTTTAAATAGCTCATGGAAGTGGGATCATACAATATTTGTCCTCATGTATGGCATATCTCAGCATGATGTTTTCAATTTCATCTACATTATAGTATGCATCAGAACTTCATTTTTTTACATGGTGAATAATACGCCATTGCAAGTAAATACACCTTGTGTATCCTTTTTTATTAATTTTATTTAAATTCAAGTTAGTTAACATAAAGTGTATTTTATTTATTCTTTTATCTGCTGATGATGTGGGTTGTTTCTACTTTTTGACTCTCTTGAATAATTCTGCTATGAACAACAGTATATCAGTATCTGTTTTGAGATCCTGTTTTCAAATCTTTTGGGTATATACCTAAAAGTGGGTTTGCCAAGACATACAGTAACTCTGTTTAAACTTTTAAGGAACAACCAAACTGCTTTCCATAGCGCCAGCACCATTTCAACTTCTTAGCAGCAATAGACAAGAGTTCCAATTTCTCCAGATCCTCACCAACACGTGTTTTATTTATGTATTTATTTATTTGAGAGAGAGAGAGAGAGAGAGAAAGAGCATGAGAAAGCACAAGCAGGGGGAGTGGCAGAGGAAGAAGCAGACTCCCCAGTGAGCAGGGAGACGGAGCCAATGCGGGGCTCAAGCCCAGAACCCTGGGATCATGATTTGAGCCAGAAGCAGACACAGATGCTGACGCTTAACCGACTGAGCCACCCAGGTGCCCTCCCGCCCGTTTAAATAACAGCCATCACCAACAGACACATGAAAAAGTGCTCAACATCACTCGGGCATCAAGGACATACAAATCAAAACCACAATGAGATACCAGCTCACACCAGTCAGAATGGCTAAAATTAACAAGCCAGGAAACGACAGATGTTGGCGAGGATGTGGAGAAAGGGGAACACTCCGACACTGTTGGTGGGAATGCAAGCTCGTGCAGCCACTCTGGAAAACAGTATGGAGGTTCTTCAAAAAGTTGAAAATAGAGCTACCCTACGACCCAGCAATTGCACTACTGGATTATTTACCCCAAAGATACAAATGTAGTGATCCAAAGGGGCACATGCACCCCAACGTTTATAGCAGCAATGTTCACAATAGCCAAACTATGGAAAGAGCCCAGATGTCCATCTACAGATGAATGGATAAAGAAGATGTGGTATATATATATATATATACACACACACACACACACACATATATACACACACACACATACATACGTACAATGGAATATTATGCAGCCATCAAAAATCTGAAATCTTGCCATTTGCAACGACCTGGATGGAACTAGAGGGTATTATGCTAAGTGAAATAAGATAATCAGAGAAAGACAATTATCATATGATCTCACTGATATGTGGAATTTGAGAAACAAAGCAGAGGATCATAGGGGAAGAGAGGAAAAAATGAAACAAGAAGAAACGAGAGAGGGAGACAAACCATAGGAGACTCTCAATCTCAGGAAACAAACTGAGGGTTGCTGGAGTGGAGCAGGGCAGGAGGGATGGGGTGGCTGGGTGATGGACACTGGGGAGGGTATGTGTTGTGGTGAGTGCTGTGAATTGTGTAAGACTGATGAATCACAGACCTGTACCCCTGAAACAAATAATACATTATATGTTAATTAAAAAAAAAACTAAATGCCATCATAGCCAGTATGAAGTGGTATCTCACTGTAGGTTTAATTTGTATTTCCCTAATGACTAGTGATATGCATTTTTGTGGTGTGAATTAGCCATTTGCATATCTTCTTTGAAGAAATGTCTATCCAGGTCTTGTGCCCCTTTTGAATCGTGTTTTATGTTACTGAGTTGTAGGAGTTCTTAAATATTCTGAATATTAATTTCTTATCAGATATATGATTTACAGGTATTTTCTCTCATTCTGAGGATTGTCTTTTTACTCTCTTGATAGTGTCCTTTGAAGCACAGTTTTTAATTTTGATAAAGTCCAATTTACCTGTTTTTCCTGTTGTTGCCTGTGCTTTCAGTGTCATAGCCATAAAATCACTGTCAAATCCAATGTCATAATTTTTTCTCCTATGTTTTCTTCTAAGAATTTTATAGTTTTAACTCTTAGATTTAAGTTTTTGGTTTTGATCTAATTTTTGTACATGGTGATAGGTAAGCTCATTCTTTTGCAGGTAGATGTTTCCCCAGTACCATTACCATTTGTTGAAGACACTGTCCTTTTACCACTAAATGGGACTTTTCGCACCTTTGTGGAAGTTCAACTGATCCTGTATGTGAAAGTCAATTTCTGGGCTCTATATTCCATTGATCTACACATGTATCCTTATGCTAGTACCACAATGTTTTATTACAGCTTTGCAGAAAGTTTTGAAGTCATGAAGTGGGAAGACTTCAACTTTGTTTTGAGCTTTCAAGACTGTTTTCACTATTCAGGGTCCCATGATTTTCTATATGAATTTTAGGATGCATTTTTCTATTTCTGCAAAAAACAGGTCATTGAAATTTTAATACAGATTGAACTGAATCTGTAGAAGGCTTTGGGAGTATTGTCATCCTAATAAAATTAAGTTTTCTAACCCCAAAACGTGACATGTCTATCTTTTTATATCTTGTTTAATTTTTTCCAGCAGTTTTAGTTTTCAGTTTATAGGTCTTTCACCCACCAAGTTAATTTTTAAAATTCAGTTTAAAAAAATTTTTTAATTCCAGTATAGTTAACATGCAGTGATATATTAGTTTCAGGTGTACAATACAGTGATCATGAGGCGCCTGGGTGGCTCAGTCGGTTAAGCGACTGCCTTCGGCTCAGGTCATGATCCTGGAGTCCCAGGATCGAGTCCCGCATCGGGCTCCCTGCTCAGCGGGGAGTCTGCTTCTCCCTCTGACCCTCCTCCCTCGCGTGCTGTCTGTCTCTCATTCTCTCTCACAAATAAATGAATAAAATCTTAAAAAAACAAAAAACAAAAAACAATACAGTGATCATCACTTCTATACATCACCCAGTGCTTATCACAAGTGCACCCCTTAATCCCCATCATCAATTTCACCCATCCCCCCACCCACCTCCCCTCTGGTAACCATCAGTGTGTTGTCTATAGTTAACAGTCTGTTTCTTGGTTTGTCTCTTTTTTTTGCCTTTGCTCATTTGTTTTATTTCCTAGATGCCATATATGAATGAAATCAGATGGTATCCGTCTTTCCTACCAAGCTAATTTTACTTTTTTTGATGCTATTGTAAGTGGTTTCCTCTTTGGATAGTTCATTGTTAGTATACAGAAATGCAACTGAAAAAAAAATAAAAAAGAAAGAAATGCAACTCGTTTTTGCGTCATTTTCTATCCTGCAACTTTGCTGAATTAGTTTATTAGCTCTAACAGGTTATTTTTAAGTATGAAATCTTCAGATATTCTACATATATAAGATCATGTAATCTGCAACAGAGATAATTTTACTCCATCCTTTCCCACTTGGATGGCTTTTATTTCCTTTTCTTGACAAACTGCTCTGGTTAGAACTTCTAGTACTGTTATGAATAGAAGTGGTGGCAGTAGGCATCCTTGCCTTGTCCCTGAACTAAATCAGAGGAAAGAGCTATCAGTCTTTTACCACTGACTATAATGTTCACTGGGTGCTTTTCATATATGACTTTTATTATATTGAAGTGATCATCTTCTATTCCTAGTGTTTCAGTCACGAAAGGCTGAATTTTGTCAAAGGCTTTTCCTGCATCAATTGAGATGATCATGTGTTTTTCTTGTTCCTTTCACTTTGTTAATGTGGTGTACTATATTGATCACTTTTTCAATGTGCAATCATCCTAGCATTCCAGGAACAAATCCCACTTGCTCATGGTGTATAAATTCTTTTAATAGGCTGCTTAATATTTGGTTTGCTGGTATTTTACTCAAGATCTTTGAATCATTGTTTGTAAGGGCTACTGACCTGTAGTTTAACTTTTTTTTTTGTAGCATTTGCCTGGTCCTGGTATCAGAGCAATGTTGGCTCACAGAATGATTTAGTAAGTGTTCCTCCCTCTGACTTCTGGGAAGAATGTGAGGATCGGTGTTAGTTCTTTAAATGTTAGCATTCACCAGTGAAGACATCAGGTCCAGGGCTTTTCTTTGTTGGTAGGTTTTGGGTAACTGATTTGATCTCCTTACTTGACAACAAGTATGATTTTTATTGGGTCGGTTTTGGTAGTTTGTGTTTCCAGGAACTTATTAATTTCATCCAGGTTATTAAACCTGCTGGTATACAAGTGTTCATAGGACTCTCTTATAATCTTTTTTTTCCCCCTGTAGAATTGGTAGTAACATCCCCACAAAGTTAATTTCTGATTTTAGAAATAGGAGGGTTTTTTTTCTTCTTAGTCAATCCAGCCGGAAATCTGTCTGCTCTAATCTTTATTATTTCCTTTCCTTCTACTAGCTTTGGGTTTGTTCTTTTTCTAATTCCACAGGAAGTAAAGTCAGGTTGCTGATTAGAGATGTTTCTTCTTAGGGCACCTAGGTGGCTCAGCTGGTTAAGCATGTGACTCTTGGTTTCGGCTCAGCTCGTAATTCTCAGGGTTGTGAGACTGAGCCCTGAATGGGGCTCTGTGCTCAGTCCAGGGTCTGCTTGAGATTCTCTCCCACTCCTCCCCCTCTGCGGACCACCGCCCCCCACCCCCGCGCTTGTGTGTGTTCCTTCTCAAATACATAAATAAAATCTTAAAAGAGAGGTTTCCTTTCTTTTTTTAATGTTAGCATTTATCACTATGAATTTCCCCCTTAGCAGTGCTCTGCTGTGTCGCATAAGTTTTAGTATATTGTGTTTTCATTTTATTCATCTCTTAAGTATTTAAAAATTTCCCTTGTGATTTCATTTTTGGCCCACTGGTTCTTTAAGAGTGTGTTGTTTAACATCCACAGATTTGTGAATTTTCCAGTTTTCCTCCTGTTACTGATTTCTAACTTCATCTCATTGTGGTCAGAAGAGAAATTTGTATGATATCTATCTTGCCACCAAGCCTTAAATTGTGGCCTAACACCAGGTGTGTCCTAGAGAAGGTCCCATGTGCACTTGAGAAGAATGCATGCGCTGTTGTTGGGTCCTGTGTCTGTTAGATCTGGTTGGGTTACTGTTGTTCAAGTTCTCTATTTCCTCACTTCTCTGTTCTCTGGTTCTACCCACTCTTGAATATCATTGTGAAATTACCTATTTCTCCCTTCAGTTCTGTCAATTTTTGCTTCATATAATTTTTTTTCATTTTAACAGTTTTTGTTTTTTTAAAAAGATTTTATTTACTTGACAGACAGAGAGAGAGCATAAGCAGGGGGAGCGGTAGAGAGAGAGGGAGAAGCAGGCTCCCAGGACCCTGGAATCATGACCCGAGCCAGAGTCAGACGCTTAATCGACTCAGCCACCCAGGCGCCTCTTAACAGTTTGTATTTAAAGTTGCATATAAGATTACTCCTGCATCTTCTCAATTCTTTCTTCCTTATATATGCCCTTTTCTTTTCCTACTTGGCAAGATTTGGCTTCATGTTCAAGGATCTTTTGGCAGTCTTTGTCCAGTTTTAGTCTAGTGATAACCACCTTGCTAAAGTGAATGTCCACATGGACAGCTGTGCCATTCGCCTTCTCTCGCTGTACTCATTCAATGTAGATAACATACTTCTTCCTGTAAACCTGGGCTACTTTGCCAATTTGCTGACCTTTGTAGTGTCCTCGCACAACCTGCAATTCATCATCCTTTCAGATGGGCATGGAATGAACGTTTTACTTCTGTCCCAGCTCTTTGGAAAGAGGGGAAGACATGCTCTTCTTGCAAATTTTTTGGGAAGGTGCACTGAAATGCTGCTTATGGTTCTTGCTCCGGTCAGAAGTCACAAAGGGATTGAACTTCATTTTGGCCACTGGCGCTTCAGTGATGGCCACAAAAGGGAAGGGCTGCGTCATATAATTTGATGACCTGTCATCAGATGTAATAAATGTTTACCATTATTTTATCTTCTTGCTGTACTGAACCTTTTATTAACATATGTTCTTCTTTGTCTCTTGTAAATTTTTTTTATTTAAAATCCATCTCGGGGCGCCTGGGTGGCTCAGATGGTTAAGCGTCTGCCTTCGGCTCAGGTCACGATCCCAGGGTCCTGGGATCGAGCCCCACATCGGGCTCCTGGCTCAGCGAGGAGCCTGCTTCTCCCTCTCCCTCTGCCTCTCTCCCTGCTCATGCTTTCTCTCTCTCTCTATCTCTGTGTCTCAAATGAATAAATAAAATCTTAAAAAAAAAAATCTATCTTGAGGGGCACCTGGGTGGGCTCAGTCGGTTAAGCATCTGTCTGCCTTCGGCTCAAGTCATGATCTTGGGATCCTGTGATCCAGGCCCACATCAGGCTCCCTGCTCAGCGGGGAGTCTGCTTCTCCCTCTCCCTCTCCTCCCCCTGCTTGTGCTCTCTTTCTGACAAATAAAGAAATAAAATCTTAAAAAAAAATTTATTTTGACTCATTTCAGTACAGCCACCCCAGCTCTCTTTTGGTTACTATTTATGTGAATTATCTTTTCCCACTCTTTCATATTCAAATTTTTTGTGTCTTTGGATCTAAACCGAGTCTCTTGTAAATAAATAGTTGGATCAGGTTTTTCTATCCAATCTGCCAATCTGTCTTTTTGGAGTTTAATGCGTTTATATTTAAAGAAATTACTGATAAGGAAGGCCTTATTTCTGTCACTTTGGTGTTTGTGTTCTATAGGCCTTAATAGCTTTTTGATTGTTCTGCACATCTTCTTCTGTGTTCAGCTGATTTTTTTTGCAGTAAAACATTTTAACTCCCTTCTCATTTCCTTCTGTGTGTATTCTATAGCTATTTTCTTTGTCATTACCCCTCAGTTTTACAGATATTAATAAGGTACCTTATTGTGTTGTATGCAACAAAACCCTTTCCTATAGTACTGTGATGCTAACAGAGTTGTATCATCATTTTGAGACCAGAGTTTAAGCAAAATGAAATGAGTATTTTAAGTGTAAACACTGAGGTCTTTAAAGCCAGAAATTATTACAGATTTCCAAACTAGAAAGAAAAAGCCCACTGAAGCACCACACATTTTAATTTAATTTAATTTTCAATAAAGTAAATATTACTGTCTAATAATGATCTTTGGAATCTTTTAAGGAAAAAAAAAAAAAAACCTGACTGGGTGGCTCAGTCAGTTAAGCGTCTGACTCTTAATTTCAGCTCAGGTCATGATCTCAGGGTTGTGAGACTGAGCCCTGCATTGGGCTCCCTGCTCAGCAGGGAGTCTGCTTCAAATTCTCTTCTCTCCCTCTCTCCCCACCCTCTCTCTCAAATAGATAAATAAATCTTAAAAAAAAAAAAAAAAAAGGGCAAGAAAACCAATGTAGATTATCCCCAGCCATTATCAGCCCATTTCTTGCCCTGCACCACTGTGATGGAACTACAAAGACCCATTTGGGCCCCTGTCTAGGCCTAGGTTTTTGGTCTTTATAGCTCAGAAAGCTGATTTCTGGTGACCTGATGGACTTTAGTAACCTGACAGGTTTACTCCTTTTTTTCTTTCCATCTTCTTTCTTTTTCTTGTTTTTCTTTGTTCTACCTTATTTTTCTTCATTGTCTTTTCTCATTTTTATTCTTTTATTAGCATAGTTAGTAAGCGTAATTATTATTTTATATCATTAGTGTTGTTAGCACAATGAGTATCGCCAGTTAGTACAGTTAGCAGATCACCATGCAGCACGGCCTTGCAGCCATCTCTGCTAACAAATCACCCCTATCTACAATTACGAGCTCCTTGAGACCACTGGCCAGGGTAACTGCCAGTGGTGAGGTTAGCCCAGCACATCTTGACTGGGACAGAGGCTGTGAAGGTCACTAAGAACAGTCAGCAGAGCTCCTCCAGTTTCCAGGGACTTTTCTAAGACGCACACAGCACAAAGGCCTTGAATCTCACCAATACTGTAAAGTTGAGGTGACTGACACTGAGGAAGCACTATTCCTTGTCTTGGAGTACGTTAGTGGAGGAGACATGTTTATTTACAATGGACCATGGCCACATGACAGAGAAAGAGGCCAGAGGCAAATTCCAGCAGCTAGTATCCACTGTGCAGTAGTGCCACCAGAATGGTATCATCCACAGGGACCTGAAGCCAGAGAACCTTCTTTGTGACACTCAGATGAATGTAAAAACTGCAAACTTTGGCCTCAGCAATGAGTTCCCCACTGGCCATAAGCAGAATACCTACTGTAACGGCCTCCCTTATACTACCCCAGAACCCTTCCTGTGCCAAAAGTACAATGATCCAAGGTCACTTGCGGGGCTCAGTTGGTTAAGTGTCCAACTCTTGATTTCAGCTCAGGTCATGATCTCAGGGTTTTAAGATCGAGCCCCACATCGCCCAGCATAGAGCCTGCTTAAGATTCTCTTTCTCTCTCCCTCTGCCCCCACCCCCCAAATACAACGATCCACTATGGTGGATGTGTGAAGCATGGTAATCATTCTGTCACTATGGTCACTGGTGTCCCTGCCTTTTGTGGGAGAGGACTTCAGGGAGCTACAGAAGCAGATCCTAAGGGGGCAATACCACATTCCAATGTTCTTTATCTCTTGAATGTGAAAATCTCGAGAAAACTGATGACCCTCAACTGCAGTGATAGAGGAACATCAGAAAATATTATGAGGGGGGTGCCTGGGTGGCTCAGATGGTTAAGTGTCTGCCTTCGGCTCAGGTCATGATCCCAGCGTCCTGGGATCGAGTCCCGCATCGGGCTCCCTGCTCCTTGGGAGCCTGCTTCTCCCTCTGCCTCTCTCTCTCTGCCTCTCATGAATAAATAAATAAAATCTTTAAAAAAAAAAAAGAAAGAAAGAAAATATTATGAGGGATCCAAGGATAAATACGGGCCAGGAAGAGAAACTCACATCTTACAGAGTGCCTCATGACAACAAGGACCCCTGGGGTGACAAAAGTAATGATGAACATGGGCTATGGGTGGGACCAGATCCAGGACTCATGAACAGCATGGAGGTACGAGAGTGTGATGGCCTCCTAAGTGATCCCAAGCTCAAGAAACCCAAGGTGAAGGGCCACCCCCATCATAATAAGCCCCTCCCCCCCTTCTGCTAACCCTAACAGTTGCATTCTTTCCCCAACCTAGAAGGTTCAGCAGGTGTCTTGACAAGGCAGTAAAAAATACCTGCAACAAGCCTGCTATTTCCACCTGGGAGCACCAGAACTCACAGTAGAAGGCCACAGTGCCTGCCAGTCCCCCACACCCCGTCTGGAGTCAAGGACCACCATCCCCAGCTCAGCCCCCTAGCAGTGGCCCTGGGGCCTCCTCCACCCCCAGCACCAGCAGCAGTAGCACAGCACCAGAGGGAACCAACTGTCCTCAATGTGTGTCCTTAAAAGGAAACCCTCTGCAAACCATGCAGCCTGATGGTACAACCCAAACCTCTCCTTCAGGTCACAGCCAGGGCCAACAGCAACGGCTGGCAGGTTCCTCAACTTTATTCTAAGACACTTTTTTTTTTTTAAGATTTTATTTATTTATTTGAGAGAGAGAGAATGAGAGAGAGAAAGCACATGAGAGGGGGGAGGGTCAGAGGGAGAAGCAGACTCCCTGCCGAGCAGGGAGCCCGATGCGGGACTCGATCCCGGGACTCCAGGATCATGACCTGAGCCGAAGGCAGTCGCCTAACCAACTGAGCCACCCAGGCGCCCTCTAAGACACTTCTGTTTTAGGCTGCCCAGCAAGAATCAGAAAGGCAAACAAAATAGAGGCCAATTTAATCTCTCATGGTGAATGGCCGAGGCAGAAATCAAATCAAAGACCATGGGGGAGGTCGAGCTGTACTTCCTGAATTTTAAATGAAGAGAAAGAAGATGCTGAGCTCCAGCAAGCCTGACAACACAGTACAGGTCAGCTAGAGACTAGGCACAAACAGCTGCAGATGGGAGCAATGTAAGAAGTACATGCTGTGTCTGCAAGATACTTGGGGAAGAGGACTTAGTTATTATTGATAAAGAAAGATTTACTTCCACCATGTACCATTCGTTTTCTGTATATCTATTTTTCCATTGTTCAGTTCTTCATTTACTGATATTTTTTGTATTTAGTTGAATTTTTAATATAATTTTAAAAAAAGATTTTATCTGAGAGAAAGCGTGCAAGCGGGGAGAGGAGCAGAGGGAGAGGGAGAAGGAGACTCCCTGCTAAGCAAGGAGCTGGACATGGGACTCGATCCCAGGACCCTGAGATCATGACCTAAGCTGACGGCAGACGCTTAACTGTCTGAGCCACCCAGGCGCCCCTAATGTAATTTTTATGTATCATTTTGGTTCCCTCTTCTTTCCTCTTCTGTATATTTATTATTTTCTTAGTGGTTACCTTGGGGATTACAATTAACATCTTAAATTTATAATAACCTAATTTAAATAATATCAATTTAGTTTCAATAGTTTACACTCTGTTCTATTCTGTCCTTTCTCCTTTACATTGTTATTATCATAGATTACATCTATATACATGTGTGCCTGTTACGACAACTTATAACTTTCATGTTTCTGTCATTTATTCAAAAAAGATTTTACTTATTTATCTGAGAGAGAGAGAGAAAGCACAAGTGGTGGGAGGGGCAGAGGTAGAGGAAGAAGCAGATTCCTCACTGAGCAGGGAGCCCGGTGCAGGGCTCCATCCCAGGACTCTGAGATCATGACCTGAGCCAGTAGGGAGACACTTAACTGACTGAGCCACCAAGGGGCCCACGTGTTTCTGTCTTTTAAATCATATATTTTTTAAAAAGGACAAAACAAAAGAGAATACTGGCTTTTATAGTTACCTACACCAGTCTTCTTCTTACGGCTTTGAGTTAGTATCTACTGTCTTTTCACTTCAGACTGAAGAACTCCCTTTAGCATTTCCCATGGTGCAGGAGTACCGGTAATGAATACCCTCAACTTTTGTTCATCTGGAAATACCTTAATTTCTCCTTCATTCTCGAAGGATAGTTCTGCCAGATATAGAAGTCTTAATTGGTAAGGTTTTTCCCCCCCTTTCAGGACTTTAAAAAACATCATCTTTACTGTCTTCTGGCACCCATGATTTCTTTCTTTTTTAAAAAAGATTTTATTTGAGAAAGAGAGAGACAGCCTGAGTGGGGTGGAGGGGTAGAGGGAGAGGGAGAAGCAGACTCCCCACTGAACAGGGAGCCCGACATGGGCCTCGATCCCAGGACCCCAGGATCATGACCTGAACCAAAGGCAGACACTACATGACTGAGCCACCTAGGTGCCCCTGGCATCCATGATTTCTGATGAGAAATCAACTGTTAAAATCTTATTTAGAATCCCTTATATATGACAAGTTGATTCTCTTGCTTTCAAGTTCTTGTTGCTTTGCAAATTCAAGTTACAACTTGACTGTAATGTGTCTTGGCACAGATTTCTTAAGTTTATCCTCCTTGGAGATCATTAAGCTTCTTAGATGTGTAAATTCATTAAATTCTGGAAGTTTCTGGAGATTAGATTTTCACAAACGTTTTGTTCCTCTCTATATATTCTCCTCCTGGAGCTCCTATGAAGTGTATTTGGCATGCTTGATGATGTCTGCAGGTCCCTCAGGCTGTGTTCATTTTTCATAATTTTCTCTTTCTGTTCCTCAGGCTGAATAATTTTGATGGTCTTACCTTCAGCTTGCTGATCTTTTCTTCTGTCTGCTCACATCTGCTGCTAAACCCTTCTAATAAATTTCATTTCAGGGGTGCCTGGGTGGCTCAGTCGGTTGTGTGTCTGACTCTTGATTTTGGCTCAGGTCATGATCTCAGGGTTGTGAGATGGAGCCCTGCGTTGGGCTCCCTGCTCAGCAGGGAGTCTGCCTGAGATTCTCTCTCCCTCTCTAAAATAAACAAATAAATCTTAAAAAAAAATTTTCATTTCAGTTACTGTACTTTTTTTTCTGCTCCAGAATTTGTTCCCTTTTTATAATTTCTTTCTTGATGGTCTCATTTTGTGCATTGTATTCTCAATTGCCTTTATTTCCTTGTCCATGATTTCCTTTAGCTCATTGAGTATATTTAACACAGTTGACTTAATGTCTTTTTTTTTAAAAAACAAGGTTTATTTATTTTATAAATGAGAGAGAGAGAAAGCACGGGCAAGCAAGGAGGGGGTAAGGGAGAGAGAGAGAAGCAGATTCCTTGCTGAGTACGGAGCCCAAAATCGGTCTCGATGCCACAACCCCAGGATAATGACCTGAGCTGAAATCAAGAGTTGGGCGCTCAGCCACCCAGGCGCCCTGATTTAATGTCTTTAACTTATAATTTCAATATCTAAGCTTCCTCTGAGATGGTTTCTGTCCAATTCCTTTTTTTCCTGTGAATGGGCCACACTTTCCTGTTTCTTTATATGTTTCATATTTTTTTCTTGTGTGAGAAATGAACATTCTGAGTATTATAATGTGGTATTCTCACATTGGATACCAGGAAATCTCACTCTCCTGTTCCTCAGGGATTGCGGATTGTTGTTTGCTGAGAGCAGGAATTGTCCATTTGTGAGCACAGCAATCACTTATGAAAGATCAGGAGTCTATCCCTTCACGAAGCACACCTCCACCCAATCGGGTTCCAGAGTTCCAATATAGTTGATTCCAAATATTCTTTGAAGGTCAATGGCTGACTTGGTAGAGGGACTGACCTCTAAAGCTTCCCACTCAATCATTTTGTGTGATATCACTGCAGTCTATAGTCTTTTAATTAATTTAAATTATCAGTGAACCAGTCCAATTTTCAGACCTTGACCAAACTCATTCAAGCTCTTGAATCACTGCTAATTCTCTCAGCAGAAAATGCCAGGTACATGCATTTTTTTTTTTTTTGACACAAGTATGATTTGTTTTCTAGTTTTGGTAAAGGGTCAGGATGAGTCATTCCCTCCTTAAATGTAACATCTTTCTTAAATCTCTTGTAACCACAGAGGACCACCACAGGAAAGGAACTGATATGTGGCAGAAGACAAAGATAATCTAATAGCACAGACTTAAAATACCAAACTAGTGGCTCCTGGGTTTAAGTACTATTCAAAATACTAGAAGTGATATGTAGTATTAAGAGGTGGCTGATGGGAGCATGGCATAGAATTTACTTCGGGAGTCTTTATTCTAGGTACAACTGTCCAGTGCTCTGAAGGTACAGCTGGAGTTAATACTTCTAACTCTGTGCTCAGAACACATTAGGGACTTGAAGATTTGCTAAAATATTTAGCTTCCTTTGTCTTAATAGAAGCATCTTTCTGGAAGCATATGTAAGAAAGGATACAAAGAATGCTCCATACAGCTAAAGTACTTAGCTCTCACTCCAGAAGCCTTCTCTCTCTAAAACATGCCTTTTTGGGGAGCGCCTGGGTAGCTCAGCCAGCTGGGCATCCGACTCTTTTTTTAAAGATTTTATTTATACATTTGACAGAGAGAGGGAGGGGACAAGCAAGGGGAGTGGCAGGCAGAGGGAGAGGGAGAAGCAGGCTCCCTGCTCAGTAGGGAGCCAGATGGGATGCGGGGCTAGATCCCAGGGTCCTGGGATCATGACCTGAACCCCTGAACCGAAGGCAGACGCTTAACCAACTGAGCCACTCAGGTGCCCCGGGCATCCGACTCTTGATTTCAGCCCAGGTCATGATCTTGGGCCCCATGTTGGGCTCCACACTCAGCAGAGTCTGCTTGTTCCTCTCCCACTGCTCTTCTCCCTGCTCTCTCTCTCTCCAATAAATAAAATCTTTAAAAAAAAATGCCTTTTTGAAGCAATAAATTTGTATCAGCAGGATAAGCTTGGAGTTATAATGTCTGGGAAATTAATGTTCTAACAGTCAGCAATTCCCACCAAACAAATTCTCCCTCCAAAAACAGCCAAACTACCTCACAATTAACCTGTCAATAGCTGTGAATATGAATGAGTTCACTATGAATATGACATAATCATTGGTTAGGAGCAATAGGGGAAGTTGGGAACTTATATTCAGTATCACCAGAAATGGATACAAATCAGGGTACCACACCATGCCAGCACTGCCCATGCATCTTTGGTTAATGGTTAATCCTATTTTTTCAGGAGCAGTTAGCTCTATTTCCTTTTTCACCGTCGCTGCTGTGCTTGCCCATGCCTACCCCTATCTGTGCAAAATCTGTCAAATAGGTGTCCCTGCTTTTCGAGCCATAGTCACCATCTTAGACCAGGCTTGCGCATATCCTACCCATGCTATTTTATTATTTTTTTAAGATGTTATTTATTTGACAGAGAGAGAGAGAAACAGTGAGAGAGGGAACAGAAGCAAGGGGAGTGGGAGAGGGAGAAGCAGGCTTCCAACGGAGCAGGGAGCCCGATGGGGGGGGGGGGGGTTCGATCCCAGGACCCTGAGATCATGACCTGAGCTGAAGGCAGGCACTTAACAACTGAGCCACCCAGGTGCCTCTACCCATGCTATTTTAGTTGTAAATCCTTGCAACTAGAATAATGTACCACATATTTTGTCATTTTCCTTTCAAATATGTAAATACGGGCAGATTATGAAATGTGGTTAATATGAAAATGAGAGTACCACAAATCTGTTTGTCTTTAGCCACATCATATAGTACTTCCTACCTGGGCTCTTGAGTAGTAACATACCCGGAAAACACAAAGCCTGCCACACAGAGTAGTAGTGTATACCACGCCAGCTTTCTTACTGTATTCAGTCCCAATTTTTCCTCCTCATTTTCAAGGCCTACCATCCTCTCAAATCTATCAACTCAAATCAATTGCTGCCAAGAATCTAGACGCCCTACTTCCAGGTTCTGCCACATTAACATACTGGGAAGGTCATGGGTCCACTTCTCTCCTTTCCTTGATGCATCTCTCGCAGCCAAGAAAACCCAAGTGGTGAAAAGAGTTCTGCCCCTGCTTCACAATGTATATTCAAAACACATAAACGCACACAGGCAGACTTACATGTATTATGAGTGAACATTCTAAAATGTAGTTAGTTTTTAAGGTAGGGTACAGAACAAGATAGGCTCCCATTTGTGTCTATTAGGTTGAAACCTATGAAAATGTCCTTTCTGTAGGTCAAAACCAAGCAACTTTATAGGGTTCACTGTCTCTAAAGTAGGAGGGATTAGGGTAGGAAAATATTTGTTTTCAAGGTTTCCTTCTGTACAATTAGATGTATGAAATTTATCATTACCTCTTCACATCCAAAAACTGAACACCTGTCCAGAAGCCTACTATCAAATGTTTTTCACACTTCATTATCCCCTTTTGTGGGTGGCTCCTCATGTGTCACAGAGTCAAAAAGAAAAATTCCTCCAGGACAGGAACTATCTTACTCCTTTGGCATTTCCCTAGCATAGCACCCGGTACAAAGCATCCTTTGGATGCTTGCATGTCTGAATGACTACATTCCACTTTCCCTGTCACCAAGGGTGGAACCTGTTCTCTACCACAGTAGTGGGAAGCAGAAAAACCAACTCCTCAGATTCTGACATGCACTGTTTGATTTTGGCCCGTGAACAACCAGAGGTGAAGTTACTAACTGTATACACCATCTGTCTAGGGAGGGCGTACCTTACAAGGCTGACCAACATGAGCTCCTCCTCACTCCCCTCCCACCCCCCTTCCCAAACTCACAAGGGGAATCTTGCTACTGCCTCACCTCTCCAGTGGGCTAAGTCTGGCCACAAGGTTCCACCCTTCACAGAAACAGCACACCTTTCTCTCCCCCAAGTAGATCACGGATGCTCTTTATCTCCAGATTACTTTATGGGCGCACAGAACTGCAAGCCACAGAAGACGTCAATTTGGCAGGGGCAGGTGGCAGATGAAATCCAGTCACATGTAGACAGGATTTCATATTGTTGTCATGCAGAAATGATTAGCTACAACTTTAGAAAATAAGCAAGGGGAAAAAAAGATAGAACCCGTTGACCAAGTGTACTTTTTTCCTGTCTAAAACACAATCGTTTCTCCCAATTCAAACTGCTAACATTTTTTCAACAGCCCTGAAAATAAAGACTGGCCCAATGGTCTACTCTTTATCTGTAAAAATTAATTAACTCCCCCCCCCCTTTTTTTTAAAGATTTTATTTATTTATTTGACAGAGAGAGATACAGCAAGAGGGAACACAAGCAGGGGGAGTGGGAGAGGGAGAAGCAGGCTTCCCGCGGAGCAGGGAGCCCGATGCGGGGCTCGATCCCAGGACCCTGGGATCATGACCTGAGCCGAAGGCAGACGCTTAATGACTGAGCCACCCAGGCACCCCAACTCCCTTCTTATTTGTTACAATTAATTAGTAAAAAGAAAAAAAAAACATTTTTAGCTCATGCCAAGTCTGGGACACTCGTATGGAATCTGCTATTACAACCCTCCAATAGGAGTGACAAAGAAATCTAATTTGTCAAAGTTAAACAAGAAAAGTTGGTAAAAAAAAAAAAAAAAAAATCCATCTAGAGTGTAGATTATGAACTGTGTGTGTTCAAATACTGCAAGAAATGACCATAGAAGGCAAAACATGAAATGCATAAAAACTTCATGAATATAATTTAAAACCTAATACTTGCTTTCCAAAGTCTTTTTTTCAATCCATCACCTAAGGCAGTTGGGTTACAAGGACTGAAAGATATGTACCACTGCCCTATCAAACACAAGGCTCCTTGGGGGTCAGAAAGCAGGTTTTCTACTGTTTGTAGAGCTACTACCTTGCACAAGGCTTGGGATGTAGTGGTGCTCAATAAAACCTACTGACTATATGAGAAATTACACAGTATTTGTCCCAGACATAGGGGAGAGAATTTAGCTGCCTCTCTCTGCCAGGGCACCTTAGAAAAAGCTTCTTCTAAATTTCTTGATGGATGAAACTGCCAAACTGATTAAAGGACCAGGACAAGGGAGTAGAAAGAAAACCGATTTAATCAGAAGCAAACATATTCTGAGCCTAACTCTGACAGAGTTCTGTGAAAGATGGAAAACTGCTGAACTTATCAAAATATATTATGAAGCAGAAGCAAATAAGACAGTGGTACTGATGAAGAATGGATCAGATGAATTAAAAAAGATACATGTAGGTGGGTAATTAGTGTGTGATAAAAAGATTTCTAGTCAGTGAGAAAAGGATGACAATATAACAAAATACTGGCACAACCGTATATTTGGAAAGATTCTGATGTCATATTGCATCATACATAAGAATTCCAATATGCTAAGTACTAGGGAAAAACATTGTTTTTATTACCGTTAGGATAGGGAAGGCCTAATATAATAACATGAAACCCCAAAACCAAAACAAATCGACGATACTGACTACAGGAAAGTTTCTTTACTACAAAAACACACCATTAACTAAACCCAGCCATGAGAAACAGCCTGGAATGTTTACAACATGAAAAAGGGTCAATATTCTTGCTATACAAAAAGTTTAGGTTGGGCGCCTGGGTGGCTCAGTTGGTTAAGCAACTGCCTTCGGCTCAGGTCATGATCCTGGAGTCCCGGGATCAAGTCCCGCATCGGGCTCCCTGCTCAGCGAGGAGCCTGCTTCTCCCTCTGACCCTCCCCCCTCTCATGTACTCTCTCTCATTCTCGCTCTCTCAAATAAATAAATAAATCTTAAAAAAAAAAAAAAGTTTAGGTTAAAACAAACAACCCGCCTCACTTGGGCGTTAGAGAAAACAATCAATTCACAGAAGAAAAATAAATAAATGGCTAATATTTTTTTAAAAACTTAATCTACTCATCAAAAAATGGAAATGAGGTATCATTTAAATTTTTCCCACTAGTTAAACTGGCAACCATTAAAAAAATTGACAATCGGCAATTATATAAATAGAATTCTCAAGCTACAAAAGTTAAGTAGACAAACTTTTTGGAGGCAGTATGGTAATGAATACCAAATTTTAAGTATGAATAACAACTACACTTTAAGGAAGTGATCAAACAAGTGGATGAAGATAACTATTAAATAGCTGTCTTTAAAAAAAAAAAAAAGATTTTAAAGTAATCTCTAGACCCAATGTGGGGCTCTAACTCACAACCCTGAGATCAAGAGTCACATGCTCCATTGACTGAGCCAGCCAGGAGCCCCTTAAATAATTTTCTTGGGGCGCCTGGGTGGCTCAGTTGGTTAAGCGACTGCCTTCGGCTCAGGTCATGATCCTGGAGTCCCGGGATCGAGTCCCGCATCGGACTCCCTGCTCAGCGGGGAGTCTGCTTCTCCCTCTGACTCTCCCCCTCTCATGCTCTCTCTCTCTCTGTCTCATTCTCTCTCTCAGATAAATAAATAAAATCTTAAAAAAAAAAAAAAAAAAAAAATAATTTTCTTAAAGAGAAAAGTTGGAAGTAACTGAAACACTCATTTAGAAGATGGTTAAACTTGGTAAATGCAATATTATACAGCTATTAAAAAAGAGTAGGTACTGGGGGCGCCTGGGTGGCACAGTTGGTTAAGCATCTGACTCTTGGTTTTGGCTCAGGTCATGATCTTTTTTTTTTTTTTTTAAAAGATTTTATTTATTGGGGCGCCTGGGTGGCTCAGTCGTTAAGCGTCTGCCTTCGGCTCAGGTCATGATTCCAGGTCCTGGAATGGGGCCCCGCATCGGGCTCCCTGCTCCGCAGGAAGCCTGCTTCTCCCTCTCCCACTCCCCCTGCTTGTGTTCCCTCTCTTGTTGTATCTCTCTCTCTGTCAAATAAATAAATAAAATCTTAAAAAAAAAAAAAAGATTTTATTTATTTATTTGAGAGAGAGAGAATGAGAGACAGAGAGCACGAGAGGGAAGAGGGCAGAGGGAGAAGCAGACCCCCTGCTGAGCAGGGAGCCCGATGCGGGACTCGATCCCGGGACTCCAGGATCATGACCTGAGCCGAAGGCAGTCGCTTAACCAACTGAGCCACCCAGGCGCCCTCAGGTCATGATCTTAGGGTCATCAGATCGAGCCTTGCATTGGGCTCTGCGCTCAGTGCAGTCTGCTTGAGATTCTCTCTCCCTCTCCCTCTGCCCACCCCCCCTACACACACTTGCACACGCACGCACATGATCTGTCTCTCTCTCTCATATAAATAAATCTTTTTTAAAAAAAAACAGTATGTACTGACAAGGAAAGGTGTGCAGTACATACAGAAAAATTTTAAAAAGCAAGTTACAGAAGAGTGTGTACTGTATCATCCCATTTAAATATAAACATGTAAGTCTGGAAGTATAGCCACCAAATTATCCAGAAGTGTGATAGAGAACTATTCATTTGCTTCTGTAATTTAGAAACAAGTCCATTTTAGAAAAAATCTAACCACCTAGGGATTCCTGGGTGGCTCAGTTGCTTAAGCATCTGCCTTCGGCTCAGGTCATGATCCCAGGGTCCTGGGATCAAGTCCGGCATTGGGCTCCTTGGCTCAGCGGGGAGCTTGCTTCTCCCTCTGCCTGTCACTCTCCCTACTTGTGCTTGTGCTCACGCTCTCTCTCTGACAAATAAATTTTAAAAAGTATCTTAAAAAAAAGAAAAATCTAACCACCTATGGTGAGGTTACTTTTGCCCCTCAAAGTGAATGAGCAGGGCTCCTTGTGGGTGATAGCTTCTGAAATGGCTTGAAGGGTCCTCAAAGTTTCTGATGGTGTCATCTTGACAGTTGGGATACTGCAAAAGCCACTGCAGTATGATCAAGAGCCAAAGAAAGCCAAAATATGAAAGGATCTTGAGGACAGCCAATCCGCTACTCTCATCTTTCAGAAGTGGAAACGGAAGCTTAGTTAACTTACTTAAGAATCATGCTGTGGCCCTGCTTAAGGAAGTCTCCCAGTCCTACAGCTTCTGGCCTACTGATTTCAAACAAACGTGAATTTACAGGTATTTCTTTTTTTCAGCCAGAGAACACAACAGATGAGAACACACACACACACACACACACACCCTAAAAGCCACCTGGAGCAGAGAACACAACAGATGAGAACACACACACACACACACACACACACACCCAAAAGCCACCTGGAGAATATATTTTCAGTTCTTTCCTCCAAATGATTAGGGAAAACAGATAAATTAGTATCTACCCTGAAGCCCCTCTCCTAGAGTAGGCAAGACACATATATAAAATGTGTGTAAGACACATATACGAAATACCAGTCATAGGCATTCAGTGAAAGCTGAGAATGGTATGGGCTGACGCGGCCACAAACAGCTTTAAAAATGGAGCTGGTGGTACCTGAGCCAGGCAGGATGCCAAAAGACAGAACCCAGAAATGAAGGGAAGTGGCAGGAACCAAGCTTAAGGAAACAGGGAACAAAGTGTGGTATGGAACAGGTAAGTAAAACAATACAGGGTGTGCATCAGAGAAAGGACAAAACCAGGAAGACAAGCTGGAGGCGGTTTGTGGAGGGACATAACCAAGGGCAATGGAAAACCAGGGGTTCTGCAGGCAGGGAAGGAAGAGGACCTAAGGAGTATTTTTAAGACTATCTGATAGCACCTTCCAAGGGGGACAAGGCGTGGGAGGGTGAGAAATCAGTTAAAAGACAGCTCGTAAGTCTATAGGTTTCCAACACTGAAAACACGGAAGGCAAGGGAACGCTCACTCAGATTCAAATTGTTTCTTTCACACCTACTTCTGCAAAGGGTACTTCGAGGCACTTAAATTGAGATTATCACACGTCATTTAAAAGAAATAAATTTCTACAAAAAAAGAGAGAAAGATTTCTTAGGATAAAAAGGTGATCTGTGAATAAGGCAACTTGGTATCCTTTTCTGCATTTAAACTGCCAGTTGATGGGAACAACAATCTACAAGTGAGCCATTCATTCCCCAACAGCTATTACTACAGCAAGCCACTGTAAAACTGGTACTATTTCCCAAATATTTCCAACTCTGTGCTTTCCAGGTCCACAGTAGAATCACACTCCTTAGTTTCTTGTATGGTGTGACTCATTCTGGCCAGTGAGCTGTAAGCCGAAGTGACGTGTCATCCTGGGCTGGAACATTTAACTGCAGGAGAAAGACCCTCCAGTAGTTCTTTTTCACTTTGCCAAGACACCCAGCAATATTCCATATCATGGCTGCTCCTTCAACTGATGTAGGAATGATGCAGAGCCCCTGGAAAACTCATGCTGCACATGCTGCACGAGCAGAAAATAAACCTATGTTGCTTTCAACCATTTTGAGGTGATTTGTTGCTGCAGAGTAACCTAGCCTATTCAGTCTCGTATTGCTGGAAAACTGACTGCCTGAAAACTTATATTTCAAAAGAAACAGAATCATCAAAACACCTTTCATTTTTTAAATTTTTATTTTAAAGATTTATTTATTTGTTTGAGAGAGAGAGATAACAAGTGAGAACACAAGCGGGGACGGGGGTCGAAGAGGGAAGCAGGCTCTCCACGGAGCAGGGAGCCCGATGTGGGGCTCGATCCCAGGACCCCGGGATCATGACCTGAGCCGATGGCAGACGCTTAACCAACTGAGCCACCCAGGCGCCCCAAAGCATCCTTCTTTTAAAAAAAAAACCCTAAGTAAAACTGAACAATAAAATTTACATAGGCTGATCTTCCAGATAAGATGTTACTTTTCTCACCGCTATTAGGGTTAAAAAAAACATCTGATAACTTGGAATATGAAACGCCAGTCCCAATACTGAGCACTTCCTTTTGGGTCATTTCCTTATCTGGAAAGAGACAGTCACAACTCATCAGCTGCTTGGATTGAACTCTGAAGTGAAGCTTAAACAAGGTAACAGCTGATCTCCATAAGAGACTGATTATATATACACTTTGTTCCATGTATCAGTCATGGGGTGGGTGTGGGGGGGGGCGGGAAACTAAAGCAACTTTTACAAAGAAGCAAGTTCCTGGGAAAGCAATTCCTGTTGAGGACTTTGCAGTCCAGCCCAATAGATTCTTGACTATAATGCACCCCACTGCTCTCAAGCTAAGGCAGGTACCAAACCAAGAGCTGAGTCTTTAGCTAGGGACCTGGATGATGGTGACTTTTTTTTTTTCTTTTATGGTGAAACAGACTGGAAAGCAGAGAGCTAGTATAACAGTTACACAGAACTATTCTCAATAGCTCAAAGCTTTTGCTAGTAACTGTAGGTTATCTCAAGCATTTACCCAGTAAAATAGATTGTCCATAAAGTGATAAGAGGAGCCCACAATGGGCTGGCTGGCTAAAGAGTAAAACCATAAACTGTTTTTTCTCCATCCCATCCGTCCCAAGCCAACTCCTTTTAATCCATGTTAAAGACACTTCTGAGGAAGGACCTCTTTGAAGGCTTAAACACATTTGTATTTGAGTCCCAGCCCCACTAATCTCTCAATATGTGTTTCTCTAGGTAAATTATAACATCAAAGTCATTCCTTATTCATAACTGGGGTACCACCTGCCTTACTCAATAGGGCCGTGAGGTTCAAGTGAGAGGATTATGTCCTATCCTAGCTTTATCTAGTGAAGTATCACTTTGTTAAACATAAATCCTTCAAGAAGGCACTTGAGTGCCTCCCCTCCCCCACTCCACCTGGCCCCCATACATATATGGTCATTCCCAATTTGGAGATGCTGCAGCTACTCCATCTACCTTAGCATTTCCCTACCTCCATTCATTTGCTTATGTCATTCCCTCCAACTATAATGGGTTTCCCCAGTCTTGCCTCCATACCAAAACTCCACTCCACACCTCTAGCATTTTCTTTAAGCTGTTTTTATGACTCTTATCCGCCTTGTTTTTACAATTATTCCTAAACCTCCAGTGATCTTTATTTTATACTCCCCACAGCTGCCAGCAGTATTTTCTTATACCAGACAATAAAAATCTGTCAAATGAACATAGAACACAGTTTAGCATTCAGGAAAGCTCTACATATTAATCATTGGCCCAGAAGCATAACTTATGTGCTACAAATAGTAACTTACTATGTGAAGTTAGAACTGGAAAAAAAAAAATTTTAAGTTTACTGAGTAGTATCTCAAGATCCATCCTAGAAGGATTCATCCCTGCCCTCCAGGAGTTTAGAGTGGGGGAGGGGTAAAATCATGTAATATTATTCCAACCAAACTAAAGTCTAGAGCAGATGTACAAAAAAGCTCAAGATCACTCAGCCAGAAAGCTGCTGGTCAAACACCAGTATCTAAAGGGACAGTCAGACCATGCAAACAGGCCTATTTCTAACATGTGTATGAAGGAATCCAATATTTTAAGAACTCAAGTGCAGATCAAAGAAGAGTTTGAAGGAAAGCACTGTTTATTATGGCTAGATTTATAGCCCACAGATGATACTTTTAGGCCAATTCCACCACCAGGAATGGATCCAGATTATAAATGCAAAAACTAATCCACAAGGGCAACTATGGAGGACTAACCACTCACTAGGCTGAAACCATTCTGCTTTTCTTTTCTTTTTTTTTTTTAAGATTTTATTTGTTTATTTGAGAGAGAGAGCACATGAGAGGGGGGAGGGTCAGAGGGCAAAGCAGACTCCCTGCTGAGCAGGGAGCCCGATGCGGGACTCGATCCCGGGACTCCAGGATCATGACCTGAGCCGAAGGCAGTCGCTTAACCAACTGAGCCACCCAGGCGCCCCCATTCTGCTTTTCTAACCCTAACGGATTTACAAAACATTTACAAGACATTGTCTCAAACTATAACACACTCAGCTCCAGAAACAACTTCTCCACTCCCTCAAGGACTACCTACACTGGTACTGAATGGGGCCATAAAAAAACAGGTTCCTAGCAGAGGGGCAAAAAAATGAAAAAGAAGACAAGTGTTAGCAAAGATGTGGAATATTTGGAACCCTCAAATACTGCTGATGGGAGTGTAAGCTGGTACAACAATTGGATAATTGACAGTATCTACCAAAGTGTAACAGATATTGGCATGGGATGAAGTGTATCCCCACCAAATTCATATATTCAAGTCCTAACCCCCAACACCTCAAAATGTGATGATCTTTGGAGACAGGGTCTTCAAAGATGTGACTGAGGTTAAATGAGGTCATGAGGGTGAGCTCTAATCAATATGACTGATGTCCTTATAAGAAGAGATTAGGACCCAGACAGGTATAGAGGAAAGACCATGTGAAGACACCCATCTACAAGCTAAGAAGTCTCCAAACAAGGGGCGCCTGGGTGGTTAAGCATCTGCCTTCGGCTCAGGTCGTGGTCCCAGGGTCCTGGGATCGAGCCCCACATCGGGCTCTCTGCTCGGCGGGGAGCCTGCTTCTCCCTCTCCCTGCCGCTCCCCCTGCTGTACTCTCTCTGTCAAATAAATAAAATCTTAAAAAAAAAAAGTCTCTAAACAAATCAACCCTACCAACACCTTGATCTTGAGCTTCTAGCTTCCAGAATTACAGGAAAATAAATTTACTTTGGTTAAGCCACGCAGTCTGTGGTATTTGTTACAGCAGCCCTAGCAAAAGAATATAAATACATACCCTAAAACTCAACCTTTCCACTCCTCGGTATTAACATAATAGAAATGTGTACATATATTACTCAGAGGCAGACATAAGAACATTCATACAGCATTATTTGTAACAGCCATAAATTATAAGCTACACAAATAAACATCAATAAATTAATACATGATGGTATACCACATAATGGAATACTTCTCAGCAATGAAAACAGTTTACAACTGCACTCAATACAAAATCTCAAACAACAATGGATCAAAGAAACCAGACACAGAAGAGTACACAGCGTATAACTCCATTTATACAAAGTCCAAATCCAGCAAAATCACACCATACTGTTAAAAAATCAGCAGACTCTTTACCCTAGGAGGAGGGGAGGATAATGACTTGAAGGAGGCACAGGGGGGCTTCTAAGTTTATAAAAATTCTCCAAGTTCACTTATTTGTGTGCTTTTCTGTATGTTCTCCTTCAAAGTTTACTTATAGAAATGAAAAATTATTTAAAAATAAGGGCAACACTTGGGGTGCCTGGGTGGCTCAGTCGTTAAGCGTCTGCCTTCGGCTCAGGTCATGATCCCAGGGTCCTGGGATCGAGCCCCACATTGGGCTCCCTGCTCCGCGGGAAGCCTGCTTCTCCCTCTCCCATTCCCCCTGCTCGTGCCCCCTCTCTTGCTCTCTCTCTGTCAAATAAATAAATTAAATAAAAAGGTTAATCGTATTGGCTTTATCACGCATTCTCAATTACCCGAATTAAGAGTTCATCAAATGGAAATAAACTTTTAATTAAAATTGCATGCAAAAATAAGAAACCAACAATGTAACTATTTAGATCACAATGTAATTTTTAAAGGATTACTGAACTGAGCTAGGTAACTCCAGGAAAGCCAGTAAGCAGCGAGCACAAGGCCATCTTGAAGGGTCAGAGAGAACAGAGAAGCTCCTTCACCGTGTCTGGCAGCAGTCACACAAGCATGTTCATTTGAGAGTCAAGTGAGGTTACAGAATTCCTAACACTGACCAGGTCCCCAGGCCTCCCTTAATACGCTTCCTCAGATTTGCTCTGCCCCGACAGCAAGCAGTCCAAGTCGACCAGGAAATGGACAACAAAATCAAACTGATCTCCACGGCAGTGATGACGTCACCAAAACAGACAGCCCAGGAGAGGCTTGAGGTCCCCTGCATTAAGTACTGCATCCTCAGGCAAATGAGCAAGGCCAACACTGTATGTCACCACTGGAACTAACTCCCAAGCTTTCTTCCTCCCCCACAGAGACATTTTGCAAGTAGCTATTCTTAAATTTGTTTTTGAAATCACAGCCTGAGTACTAAAATTGAAACTAGTCAGAGGCACTGCTAAAAAGCCTGTTCTGATTTCATCCACCACACATCACTTTTACCTTTGATTCACAAATCACACTGACCACGATGACCATTAAGAAGTTTTAAAACATTAATGCAAACTATTTTTCTGTGTTTAGGAAAAGGCAGAAAATAGAAGGAAGATGTGAGAACAAATAACTGAAGAAATCAACACGTTAGAACAAATAACTGAAGAGATCAACACGTTGTAAAATGTGTCTGCAGCAAACTGCAGACATAGAAGCACAGAGATCTATTAGATGGCATTAACAGATAAATGTTTGGTAACACAGGAATGGATGACAGAGAATACAATGGCAACCTTACATGGGAGATAAGAGTCAGCAGAAAGCCAGCAGCCGCACACGTTTGGGGGGGGGGGGTGCTCATTTCTAGAGCTTCAGTCTCCTTCGGAGGATGACAGCAGTACCAAGGGGAACCACCGTTTAGCCTTACTCAGGAGGACTCCTCCTCCTTCCTCCCCCAGGAAACCTTGCCTGTGGTAACTCCTAGTCTAATACCTAGTCAAATCCTTGGCCTTATTTGTTGAATTGCACAGATGCAGAGTTAAACAATTTTATCATAGGAATAATAGTATATATTTATGTCAAATCTCAGAAAGGAGCAATGCATAGAAGACTATCACAAGAGTGTGGTCTGGGTTTGCTACACCTTTGCACAGAAAGGCTAATACCAATATAAGGGAAGAAATGATATTAGCGCAATTCTCTTTGGAGATTTATTAGAAGCTTATCAAACAACCAAAACCTTTTTGCTTCACTTGGTGGTGGGGTCAGGAATCAGATTCAAAGCCATACTTTATTATAAAGCAATGCTCTTTTTATGGGATTTGGGGGCCTAGGCCTGGTAGACACAAACAAAACATAATAAAACAATCAAATGCCCAAGTGATCACTAACAATTACCTGGAGATATATACTAACAAAACTATTTTTAGAGTGCTTTCTCCTACATTCCACCCTTCTGTTTGTTTACTCATGCAGTTCTACCACAAACACAAAACTCAAATCTCCTTTTAAAGAAGGGGAGCCAGAGCGGTTGCAGGAGATAGGGTGGCATAGGGCTTTATTTAGTAAACTATAACTGGTGGGCACTATATTAAACTTTCTTCATCAGCTAAAGAAAAAAAAATCCAGCATGCCAAATGTGCCTTTGCTCAAAGAGCAGTGCAACAGCAAACATTTGCAGTGTCAAATAGCAATGACATGAACTCCCTCAAGTGAACAACAAAATGCCACTAGAGCCAAAGGAAAAACAAGTTTAGCGTCCAAGGTTTCTCTTCCAAAGACATGATCAATTTGAAACTGTAACATTATCTTCTATACTCTCAAGAGCAAACTATACAAATGCTATTACGATTAACAAAGGCTTCAAGTTGGCCAGAATACCAGACTGCCTACTATGGATTCACTTGCAGAGATGAGAAACAACTCCTCTTTCCAAAAGCCTCAGGTTCTACCACCAAGCCATTCCACAACAGAATTCCTGGCCATGATCGCACATCATTTTTAAATTCCTTTAGGACAATAACCACACCTATCTCCCTGAGTCAATAACCAGTAATGCCTAATACTCAAAACATCTCAATGAATGAAAAGGTGCTCATCATTACTCTACTCTACTCTCTAAATTTAAACATTATTTAATTTAAGACTACCATACTTATTACTCACTTAAATACATCATATTTTTAGGTATGCAGAGTTAAAAAAAAAAATTAGAATACAACAGGGTTGGGAGGACTAAGCTTTAGCTTGGACAGTATCTTCAGGAGTACTCACAATTCACCTTCCAGTTCTTAGACTCAAATCTGAGCAAACTCTCCCAAGTCTGAAGAGAAACACACTAATAGGAGACTCTATTAATCCATGGATGAGAAGTCATGCGGCTAATCAGCTGCTTAAGTCACAAGGAAGAGACAAGAGCCTGTTCTTTTGTAATCCAAAGAGAAGATAGAGTATTTTCAACAGGAAGGAACCAACTGGCTAGATACCCATGTACTAAGGTTTTAAGAAAGGTTCACATGGCAGGATTGCCAGGCTTAATTCGTTTGACAAAACATTTACGTAACAAAATTTTTCAGACCTCATTTAAGCACTTGATAAAACTGTAGAGCTTCTAATACTGGCACTACACTACAAAAAACCTGTGTTAAAAGTCACAACCGCAAATGGAGTATCTTATGATTTTAAGGTAGAACTAAGGTGGCTGTAAGGTAGAACCAGAAGAGGCTTTCAAATGTCATCAACTAGAAACAAAGGAGGCAGAGAGAGGGAGATACCAGGTGGCAAAAGACAGATCACAAACTTCTGGAGCATCGGAAAGCAGTACAACCCAGAGACTGAGTACAGTACTCTGGAGTCTGATTGCCTAGGCTTGAATCTTCGCTCCTTAACTTATTAGCTGTGTGACCTCGGACAAACAACTTAACCTCTCCGTTCTTTGACAATAATGGTACTTGAGGGCTGTTCTGAGCATTAAACATAAAAATCTGTGCAAAAGTTTTTGGCGCGCTGCCCAGAACACAACCAGCGCTCAAATGTTTGCTATTATTACTCTCAATTTTCCACTTTTACGAACCACTAGGCATCAAGCTTTGATTTAAGGCAGTATGAGGTCCCCGACGCGGTGGCGTCCAAACACAGCTCTACAGCCAACCACCAACTTTCCCCCAACAAGTTTGAAAACTTCCTTCGGGATTTACCACAACATACTTACGACAAAAAGCTCCCTGTCTCCCAGAGCCAGAAGCGTCTCATGTGTATACAAGTGCTTGGGGCGAGCCCAATGCACGTGACCTGACTCACTGCCTTGACTCAGTTGCCGTCAGGGAACCTCTCCCACTTAAAAGGGTCAGGCTGTTCAACTGAAGACACAGACGGGAACGTGGCTCAGCCGTGGGAGCCTGTTAGCAAGGCCCGCACGGTCGGCGGCGCCCGGGACAGCGTCCCCAGACAAGGCAGCGGGCGCGGTCGGCTCCGACACACTCCGGCTCGCTGCTCCAAGGGACTCAGCCCAACAGCGCGTCCCGCCGCGGCGCAGGCCCCCAGTGTCCAGAGGCCACCCGAATCAGGAGACACTCCGGGTCTCGACGCTACCAGCAAACACGGCGTCCGGGATCGCCGGCCCGCGGTCGACAACCCGGCCAGAGGGCACACCCGGCGACCTCTGACCTCCCCCCAATCCCCCAGCCGGGTGCGGTCCGGGCCTGCTCTTGGGCCCTGAGCGACGCTGGGTTTCCCCGCGAGGCCTGCGTGGGCCCAGAGCCTGCCCAAGGTACGGACGACGCGAGGCCCAGGCGAACGAGGAGCTGAGGAGGGGGATGGGGCCAGGCCACCGGCCAGGCTGGGCCCGCTGCTTACCGCGGCCGCTCCGTTGGGGGCTCCGGGCCGGACGCGTCGCTAGGGCTCCCACCGAGGAGGAGGTACAAGGGAGGACAGGAGCTGAGGAGAAGTTCAAGTTCCGGTTCCGGCTCCTGCTGACTCCTCGGCACTCCCCAAGCCTTCAACGCCGCCGCTGCCGCCGCCTCGAGCTTTATGGCCAAGACTCCGGCTCCGCTCCCACTTCCGCCACCGCCGCCGCCCGGAGCGGAAGTACCTGTCACGAGACTCTCGACGCCAAGAGTGCGGGGGAGGAGCCCCGCCTCAATCTTGCGACACGTTCCGGCCGCTTCTGGGCTGAGCCTAGATCACGTGGCACAAACATGTCTGCCCCCAATTGGTTGTTGCCATCTTTGAGGCTCGTACAATGAGAAGGACGGCGCCATGTTGAATCCGCAAACCGCTGTCTCAGCCATCGCCCCCTCTTCCCCCGCTCCCGCGTTCCCCCCGGAATAATGAATGCCGCGGAAGGGAGGACGAGAGTAAACTGGCTCTTCCAGTAGTGTCCGTCTGCAGAAGGCACTGATCAGTCAACTAAGTAGTCCTACTGTGTGCCCTGAGCTGTTCAGGATCAAACAAAGCATGCATGCTCTAGGAACAGGCTTTTTCAGGGAGAGGTCTCTGAGTAATGGGAGCTAAAAGAGTGGTTATTTGACAGACTTACATTGTGTTGAGGAAGGGTACCCATATTTATTGAGCGCCCACCATGCCTTTGTACTACACCTTTGGATCATCTCCATTTGTCCTTAGTTTAATCACTTAAGGAAAGATTATTTTCACCCTTTTGGGAACAGGGAACAGAGACCTGCTACAGGTGGGTTTGACCTAGCTCACACAGTAAGTAGTAGAGTGAGATGTGAACCAAGGGAGGTTGGACGTTAATGTGCATGATCTAGTCGACTGAAAATGATGTACCAATTGTGTAACAGAGTGATAGACATTACCAGAACATTTCTTCTGGTCCAAGAAAATGGAAAACCAGTGTAACCCAACTAACATGAGGTCACTCCTTAGTGAGTCACAGATGTACCAGGTGGAGTTGTCTCACAAAGTAAACTTTATTTGCAGCAAATAAGGAGATCGCTGGGAATAACTTCCAAATCCGTGGCTCACAGAGCAAAGGCAAATGGATTCCTTTTATTTAGGGTTAGGATGAATATTTAGATAAGGGAGCCTTGTCATCTTATGTAGAGGCGAGCAAAAGGAGGTGCATGTGCCTTAAGGAAACATGCCTATACATACACTGTATGTTATGTATATGAGGCTTGTGCTCTTCCTTGGGTGGAGATTTTACAGTTACGATGAGGTAAAGGTAAGTCTTGGTCAGTCTGTGGGCCACTCCATGGTCCATCTGCATAGGTGTGAGTAGGGGGTTAAGTTCAAGCTGGTCTGGGTGGTCTGGGCAGTTGTTATTGCTTGAGGAGTATTGTTTGTTTGTTTGTTTTTTAGAGATTGTATTTATTTATTTGACGGAGAGAGAGTGCACACAAGTTGGCAGAGTGGCAGGCAGAGGGAGGGGGAGAAACAGGGCTCCCAGCTGAGCAGACAGCCCGATGCAGCTCTATCCCAGGACCCTGAGGTCATGACCTGGGCCGAACGCAGACGCTTAACTAACTGAGCCACCCAGGCACCCCGACTGAGGGGTATTTTGGTTTCCATCAGGGAACGTTATGCCCCTCAGGTCTTTGCCTGAGTTAAAAGATAAGCTAGAAAGAAGAGCCTAAGGAAAAATGTGGGACAAAGGTCAATGAGTACAATAAGCAGGTAGGCATAAAGGTCAGGCTTTGGAGTCCAGCTGGTGACAACAGCTCAAGACTCCCTGAGCTTACTGTCAAAGGTGAGGCAATAAAGTTGTACACTGTAAAGCTCTTAAGAGGGTGGGACACCCTATCAAAGACCCGCCCCATCTAAACACATTAAGATCAACTCGGAACTTTATCTCCATCTTCAACAACATGCTCTTCTCATAGTCTTTTCCTGTCTTGGTTCATGAAAACTTCATTCTTTCAGTTGCACATTCTAAAAAACTTTGGAATCATTCTGTCTCCTGTAGCGGGTTGAATAGTGACCCGCAAAAAGATAAGCCTACATCCTGGACCCTGTGGATGTGACCTGATTTGGAAAAAGGGTATTTGCAAATATAATTAAGGATCTTTTTTTTTTTTTTTAAGATTTTATTTATTTATTTGACAGAGAGACCGCGCAAGAGAGGGAACACAAGCAGGGGGAGTGGGAGAGGGAGAAGCAGGCTTCCCACAGAGCAGGGAGCCCAATGTGTGGCTCGATCCCAGAACCCTGGGATCATGACTTGAGCCGAAGGCAGACACTTAACGACTGAGCCACCCAGACACCCCTGTAATTAAGGATCTTGAGATGAGAACATCCTGGATTATCCACGTGGGTCCTACATCCAATGACAAGTGTCTTTAGAAGATACACACAGTGTCAGAGAGTACAAACACACAGAGAAAAGAAGTCCCTGTGAAGATGGAGTCAGAGATTTGAGTGAGTATCCACAAACCAAAGAATGCTGACAGACACCAGAAGCTAAAAAAGACTAAAAAAAGGGAGGGGAGGGGTTGATTTTGAATTTTCTATTTGAGTTGTATGAGAGATTACATTTCTGTTGTTTTAAGCCTGTGGTGATGTGTTACAGCAGTCCTGGAAAATGAATTTAACTCCCCTCTCTCTTATGCCCCTCATCCATAGCCTTCAAAAGATATTCAGAACATGACTACCTCTTACTATCTCTGCCATTACCACCTGGTCTGAACCTCCATCATTTCTCCCCTGGAGTAGTGCAAAAAATCTTGATTTCCTGCTCCCACGTCTCTCTTTATCATTTCTTAACACAGCAGCCAGAGTAATTCTATCAAAATGTCAAACCGTCATTCTCTTGCTCAAACTCTTCCCATAAATCAGACTAAAACTAAAAGCTTTGACTCCCAAATACCTCTCTGACCTCATCTCCTTCTAATACCCCTCAGATCAGTCCGCTCAAACTATACCAGTTTATGAAAAGAGAAGGCACACATTTAACTCAGGCCTTTACAGCTGCATTTCTTTCTGTCTGGAAAGTTCTTCCCCCAGATACCTGTATGACCACTCCCTCACTTTCTCAGGTCTTGACTTAAATGTCATCTTCTCAGTGAGAATGGCCTTTCTTATTTAAAATGAAAGTTCCTTTTCCTATCAACACTTAGACACAAAACACCACTTGCTATTTTCCTTCCTGCCTTTTTTTTTTTTTAAGATTTATTTATTTGAGAGAGAGAGAGGAAGAGAGTGAGGGGAAGGGCAGAAGGAGAGAATCTTCAAGCAGACTCCCCGCCGAGTGTGGAGCCTGATGCAGGGCTCGATCCTATGACCACGAGATCATGACCTGAGCTGAAACCAAGAGTCAGAAGCTTAACTGACTGAGCCGCTCAGGCACTTTTTTTGTTTCTTTATATTGTTTACTTTTATTGCCTGTCTCTCCCACTAGAATGGCAGTTCCATAAGGGCAAGCATTTTTGTCTGTTTCACTCATTGCTGTATCCCTGATCCCTAGAACAGTGCTGGAGCACAGCAGGTGCTCAGTGAGTACCATTTGCAGAGTATTCAGGGGAATGGAAATTGGAAATAGTCTCAAAGGCAAATAATTATGGAAATTCCACCCCATTCTGCAGCCATACAAAATGCTGGGTTTGAAGATAAAGAAGTAATTAGAGAACACCTGAAAAGGCAAAGCCCCTGCCTTCTAAGAAGTTGATTGAGAAGGCTATTCAGATGTAAATATGGACTATTTCTTTTTTTTTTTTTTTTAAGTATTTTATTTATTTATTTGAGAGAGAGCGAGCCCAAGCAGGGGGAGGGGTAGAGGGAGAAGCAGACTCCCCGCTGAGCAGGGAGCCAGACTCGGGGCTCAATCCCAGGAGCTTGGGATCATGACCTGACCTGAAGGTAGAAATTTAACCAACAGAGCCACCCAGGTGCCCCAACATGGGCTGTTTCTTATGGAAAAGAAAGGATGACTTAGAAGAAACCCATGAGCCAAGAGGGTAGAATCAAGAGCTATAGAGAATCATTCCCAGGGAGCAGGACTGTACAGTAATCAAAGAGCTGGCAATGTGTGCCTAACTGGATTTCAGAATTGCTATGGCCCAGTGGTAGCTATGTGACTCCTGTTTTTCCCTTTTTGGAACAGAAGTGCCTGCTCTGGGGGCACCTGGGTGGTGTGGTTGGTTAAGCATCTGACTCTTGGTTTCAGCTCAGGTTGTGCTCTCAGGGTTGTGAGATCAGGCCCCTCAGCAGGAAGTTGGCTTGGGACTCTCTCTCTCCCTGTCTCCCTCTGCTCCTCCCCAACCTCAAATAAATAAATAAGTTTAAAAAGGAAAAAAAAAGGTGTCTGCTTTGGTTATCTCAAGCCTGTCACCTCTGTTGGTTTCTGGAGAGCAGAAAACCTGTCTATATCTTACAGGTCTTCAGATCAAGAAGAATAATACTCAAGGGCGCCTGGGTGGCTCAGTTGGTTAAGCGACTGCCTTCGGCTCAGGTCATGATCCTGGAGTCCCGGGATCGAGTCCCGCATCGGGCTCCCTGCTCAGGAGGGAGTCTGCTTCGCCCTCTGACCCTCCTCCCTCTCATGCTCTCTGTCTCAAATAAATAAATAAAAAAAAAAATCTTTAAAAAAAAAAAAAAAAGAAGAAGAATACTCAAGAAGCTGTTCTTGAGGAATCATACCTACTCTGTACCTGGACCCAATTTATATGATAAGATCCATTACGAGCCAGTGATGTTTTGGGACAAGACTTTAAGGGTCCTTGGGAGGAGGTGAATATATTTTGCACATGGAAGGAATGTAAATAATTTGTGTCCAGAAGGTGGACTACAATAGATTAAAGATGGTGGTAAATTCTTTGCTCCTCCTTTGAGATGTAGAATCTACTTCCCTTCCTTTTGAATTTGGGTTGAACTTCCTGACTCATTTGGCCAATAGGATGTAGCAGAAGTGATCATAAGAAGCTTTACAGTTTTCACCCAGAAGTCTTGAAATGCTCAGGCAGTAGAAGCTCCTCCTCAGAAAGCAGGCTCCATGCTTTGAGAAGCCCAAACCATTACAGGTGTCCTTATCAATCGCCCCACCTGAGCCCCCAGCAAGCAGTCAGCATTAATTGCCTGCCATGTAACTGCACCATTTGTGATGTCCAGCCATGTTAAACTTCAAATGACTGTAGCCCCGACTAAAAGTTTACTGTAGTTATACAAGAGACTCCAAGTGAGACCTGCCCAGTTGAGCCCAGCCAACCTACAGAACCAAGAGATGCTAATAAATTCTTGTTTTAAGCTGCTATGTTTTGGGCTGCTTTGTTATACAGCAATAGATAACCAGAATAGGGCCTATAGAAAATGAAGGGGAAGGGAACAGTTATATAAAAGACCTTTGGTACAACAGGTTTGGGTTGGGGAAGACAGACTTCAGAGTTGTTGGTTAAGGGAATGACATGATGACAGCCGTTTTAAGAGTCTCCCACTAAATTGGTGTCCTGCTGGAAGCGAGAGAGAAGAAAGTCCAGGCTGGGACTGTATGTGAGGCTGGGTGGGCAGGGAATGTCTGGGATTGTGACTTACTGATCTGTGCAGAAAACTCACTTGAGGAAGTTTGTCACATCAGTGGGACATGGATGGGACCTAGTACTATCTGATTGAGCTCGTGAGGTCAGAGAGAGAGAGAGAAGATTGGAGCCTGGAAGGTTCAAAGGAGGTTAAAGTGAGGTTAGGAGTGAGGAGTTCAGTTCCAGAAATACTGACTCAAAGGACCTCTGTGGGACATGTAATTGGAGATGTGGAGGAGGTTGAGGCAGAGAGGGGGCAGTTAGCAATCTGGTTCCCTCAGCATAGCCTGGGCTGACAATAAAGATTGGAGAGTAGTGATGGGTGTGAAAAAGATAACCCATGAAAAAAGTCTAGGAGTGTTTCATTCTTTCAATAAGCTATTTACTGAGACTCTCTTATGTGCTAAGCTTTGTTACATCCTAAGAACATGAGAAAAGCAAGGCCTCTCAAGAGCCTTACTACTTTGTGTGGTAAACAACACATAAGTAGCATCCCCCCCACACACAAGCACACACAAAATTTCACTTAAATTTCCATCAAAGGGGAACTGGTTAAATAAGCTACAATACATCCAGTCAAAGGAATACTATGCAATTATAAAAAAGAATGAGAGAATTCTCTATATATTGATATGGAACGATCTCGAAGAGGTATTATTAAGTGACAAAGCAAGATATAGAATTGTATATACCATATGTTTCTTTTTTGGAGGGGGGGGAAGAGTGAAGGTAGAAAAATAACATACTTCAGCAAATAAAAAATGTGATTAACTGGTATATCAATTAAGATTTAATAAGAGCAGTTAGAATAAGAAGTTAATGGTAGGGATTAGACCTACACAATTTGTTGGAGTTGTTAAAAAAGTTTACGCAGGCTATTGTTTCTGAGTTCAGTGTTGGACCCAACATTGGTCACCATAGGTCAGGTAGACCAGCATTCAGGAAGAAAAGCTAGATGTGGAGGAGGACAATGGCACATTGGACCCCATAAGGATAACTAGAACACACAAAGACCAAATGGAAGCCATGTTTGTCTTTTCTCACCTCTAACTTCAGTGCCATGTGTGGGTGACCTGCAGCAGAACCTGGTGTCTTTCACCACAAAGCTGCACACATGCCTGGCCCAGGATTCAAAAAAGCCAAAGGGGGAGATTTGATGGGGGCTGGAGGAGGTATGGGTCTGGGTGCTGCCTCAAGGCAACAAGACCAGCAGACCAGTGACACCAGGAGCTGCCCCGTGGCAGGTGCCCTGCATGATTTTCAGAGTATAAACAGTATAATTGCTCTTTCACTTTTGCCTTCCAAATCTCATGCAAATGTCTCTTCTGACCGATGTGAATACAGATCCATATAGAGAAGAGGATTCTGGGAAATGTAGTTCCAGCTTAGTTGTACTACAAAGCCACCATACCTCATGAATGGGATAAAGGTGAGAACTAGATTTTCAGTGCATGTCCTTTATATTATCTTTAAGTTTTAATCATGAGATTATATTATCTATCAGATATTTAAATTAAAAAAAGAAATCCATAAAGTGATGAATGGGATGCTGATGATAAGATGGTATATGGAGCAGAGATGGAAGTTGGAGGAAAGGTGGTATTAGACACAGGTGGTAAGAAAGGCTCCCTGAGGAGGTGACATTTGGGCAGGCTCCTGTTGACAATGGGGGAGCCCGCCTCTTGACATTACCTGCAGAAACTGTTATAGGTAAATGGAACGGCAAGGGAAAAAGCTTTGTGAAGAAACAAGGTGTCCTGCTCAAGGAACAGCAGAGAGGCCAGTGTGGTTGGAGCAGAGTGAGGACGGGAGAACGTGCAAAGAAGTGAGGTGGGAGAAATGGGCAGAGCAAGTCATAGAGGGTTTCATGGTTCATGGTAAGACCTTTGAAATATATACTATGTGTGATGAAGCCCATGGAAGTTTAGGCAGAGAGTGTATGCTTGTGTGTGTCTATGTGTGAGATGTGTCTCCCTTCACAGGTCACTTGCACTGCAGGGCCTTTTCTGGCCATCACTCTCTTTTCTCCTGTTCCCACAGGGAAGCCATGGCCCTGGTAGGCCCCTGTCACAGCCCCACAACACTGCTTACTTGATGTCTGCTTCTCCCTCTGCTCCTCATCTAGACTGGGGGGCTCCTCAAGGGTCAGCACTTGTTCTGATCTGCCTTATTGTCCCCAGCACCGCAATAGGCATTGAGAAACCTCACCACACGACTGAACCATTCAAAACAGAATGAACTGTTGCATTATTCTCTCTGATACAGCTTTGCATGATTTATGAAGTACTCTGGGGTTTGCTATTTAAACATGGCCAGTTTTCCTCAGGGGTTCCTTCCTTGGCAGTTTTTACTAATCCAGGAGTCACTGGCTGGCTGTCCCTCCATGCCCGTTCTAGTCTTCCCTTCTCGGTACTCCCCCAGTCTAAGCTCCTGCGCCTTTGAGCAACTCACTTGACAATCTAGGCCTCAATTTCTTCATTCTAAAATGGTGTTAATAACCCCAACTCTGAGATATTGTGAGAATCAGATGTGAAAGTGATTTATCAAGTGCTCTATCATATGTAGGAGAAAGACTGAAGTTACATATCAGTTGCTGGGTGATATAAATCTGGGGTGGTAGTTTCAGGCATTTTTCTGCTAGATATGGTGAAGAAAACAAAGATCCATTAATTCATTCATTGATTCATCCAAAACAAATCAGTCCTCAGCTTCCAGGACAACCCTAGGGACACAGAGATGAACCAGCCACGGTTCCTGTGCTCCACGAAGTCCCAGTTGTGTGTGTATATATGTAGGCAGGGGTGCACCCACAAAAAGACAACTCACATCATACTAAGTCCTCTTCCTCTTCCCATAACTAGCCATGGGCTGCATTCCAGAGCCTTCTTACTCACAAGGCTATACTGCAGCTCTCCGCCCACAGTAACCCTGTCAGGGACAGGCACTCAACCAGTTCCAGGGCAATCAAGGCCAGTAACTCTCAAGTCTGGTTCTTTTTTAGAGTGGAGGAAGGCAGCTATATTGGGAGAAAGAAGACCTTTTCTCTGTGGAGAAAGAATAAGACGTGTCTAGAATTGCTGGGGGACTTCTTGTCACCTCAAGGGCAGAGCCTACCCGAGAGTAAAGCTAAATAAAAAACAGAGGAAAACAGGGGTGTCTGGCTGGCTCAGTCAGTAGAGCATGCAACTCTTGATCTCGGGGTTGTGAGTTTGAGCCCCATGTTGGGTGTAGAGCCTACTTAAAAAATAAACAAATAGGGCGCCTGGGTGGCTCAGTCGGTTAAGCGGCTGCCTTCGGCTCAGGTCATGATCCTGGAGTCCCGGGATCGAGTCCCGCATCGGGCTCCCTGCTTGGCAGGGAGTCTGCTTCTCCCTCTGACCCTCCCGACCCTCCCCCCTCTCATGTGCTCTCTCTCTCTCTCTCAAATAAATAAATAAAATCTTTCAAAAAACAAACAAACAAACAAATAAAAAATAAAAGCAGAGGAAAACAAAGAGATGGTGAGGGACACAACTTAGGGTTAAAATCTGGGCACTTGTATCCAGTGATGCTTGAATCCAACTGCCCCTGTCCCTCCCGCATTTCCCCAGCCCCATCCCCACTCCACCCTCCAGCCTTCACCACTTGCTTAAGGGAAAGTCACAGCCACACCAGGGGCTGGTGTCAGCAGGAGCTGCGGCAGCTTCTGGTCCAAGTCCTGTCTAAATGGACTCACAGAAGCTTTGGTGACTCTTCTAGTGACTGCTCAGAAAAGTCTGGGAATACAGCCCAGAGATGTGGGGGAGTGAACATCCCCAATGAGACTCAGAATTTGAGGAGAAGCTTAGAAGTCAAGTCTCTGCTTTTACCTTTCCCCAGTGGACGGTTCCAAATGCCTTTCTGGAGATATCTCATGGGACTAAAGTCGTCAGAATTAGCAAATAAAAACACTTGGCCTAAAACATTGTTTGTGTTCATCTGGAACTCAAATTTACCTGGGTGTCCTATATTGGTCTGGCAGCCCTGTATGAGACCCAGCAACAAGCTGTGTCTGCTGAGACTGTGACCAGTGTGATAATAGTGTGACAACCTCATGTTTCTTTTCTCTGCTCCCCGTCTTTTCCTCACCTCTCTTTTTCACTCTTGCTGCCTGGGTACTGAACTCCAAAATAAAGTGACAGCATGTTAGGCTTTGTCGCGGGCACTGCTTTCTAAGAGACAAGCCAAGATAAGGCAGTTGAAGTTAGATTTCTGTCACTTACATCCCAGAGTCCTGAGGAAAATTCAGCCTGTTTCCTCTTCTGTGGAATGAGGTAAGAGTTCCCACCCCACTGACAGCCTAGGATGGACGAGAAGGTCAAAAGACCTCATGAAGGGCAAAGTGGTAACGCCAGAGCCAGTGGGTCACCGCGGTCACCCCGGAAGACAGGAGGTTGAGTCCCAGGGCTGACCCCTGCCTCACTGAGTTAAGGGCACTGCGAGACAGGGCTGCTATCTCCTCATGGCTGCTGGCTCCATCTGTGTTCTCTCACGTGGGCGATGTCTCCCCTGGCTCCACTTCCCTGGACCACCTGCCTCTGACTGTTTCAGGCTTTGCACTTCAGAAGAACTAGCCCCATAGGGACCAAGGAGCCCTGCTTCCACCCAGTCAATCTTTCTACAGTGTGGATTGACACCCTCCTCCAACTCCATCCTGACAATGCTGTGGGTGCTTTGTCCTGTCTTTATCAACACATGCCCATCCCTATGGGTGCCTCTGGTCCCCTTTGCCTGGAATGGCCCTACTACCGTGGTCTTCGTGGCCCTACATCATTTGGTCTTTGTCTCTTTTTCATGGATTTATTCATGCAACAAGCCTAGGTTTGAGCGCTTACTGTGTGGCAGGCACTATTCTGAGCCCTGGAGAGAGAGCAGTGAACAAATTAGACAAAATCCCCGCCCTCGTGGAACTTATGTTCTAGCGGCAGCCCCAGAAAATAAAGCATATAAATAAGTGAAATATGTAGTGTATTAGATGGAGTAAGTGTGATGGAGAAAAACAAAGCAGGGAAGCAGGGTGGCAAAGGACTCTGCCCCCAGCCAGTCTCCCTTTCTCCCCTGATCAGTCAGTGCACTCCTGCCACACTGGCCTTCTTGCTGTTCTCAAATACATCAGACTTGTTTCACCATTGCCCTTCTTAGTTCCTCTGTCTCAACAGCTCCCCCTCTCCCCCATTTTGAAGATCTTGACACGGCTGGATCCTTCCTGCCATATGAGTCTCAACTCAGGCCCCCCTGGATCACCCTGTCAAATGTTATTTCCCAGTTATTCTTTATCTTCTAACCTTGTGACATTGTAACATTTCTTCCATATCATCTCTAGATGCAAGAGGAGTGAGAAATGAGGGACCCGGGTTAGGCAGTTGCCTTCCAGCAACAGCTGTTTGCTATAGAAGTGGAAGAATAAACTGCAGTGGACAGCTTTCTGCCCCTGCCACAAATACAGCACGATATATACTACATAAAGGAAGCAAAGGCGTGAAGATGGCCCAGGAGAGACACCTGATGTAGCCTACGAGACAGAGTGGTCATGGGGCCCAGAGGAGGCAGTGCTGAGGTGACTATTGAAGGGTAAGAAAGAATCTGCTGGGCAAAGGTAGAAGGAGGTTACTGCCAATAGAGGGATGACTATGTGCAAAGGTATGGAGAAAAGAGAGAGCATGTCATAACTCATTCCAGAAACTGCTGATGGTTCAGTGTTCCTAGAGAACAGAGTTAGAGGGAAGGAAGCAGGAGCAGGAAGGAAACCTAAGAAGAAAGAGTGGGTGTGAATGCCTTTGATCTAGATGTTGAGGGGGCCTTTTCCTGTTTTCCTAGTATTGACAATCGAGATACAAGATTGAGGACAGAGTTGAGGATCTCACATTTAAGGATGATTAAGGATGTCTCCTAAGACTGGGGCAAGAACAGGCACTGCCCCAGAAGTAAACAGCGAAGTGGCAGGACTGGCCTGACCACGTCACTCACCCTCCTCCCCCACCCCCAATGAGCAAAAGTGTGGGAAGAGATGAGACAGGGAATCCTCGTAGGCCCAGGGTTCACTGGGGAGTACTGGGCTTTTCCCCTTCCCCACCATTGCCAAGGTGAGGGGGTTCTATGAGACTTACTCTTAAAGCTGGGGTGGGGGGCTACAAGCAAGACTGATGAGCATCTCATTTCCCAGTGGAACCCCTCCTTAGGCAGCAGATGTACTGATCCTCCCCTATGTCTCCCTGGACAGGGAAAGGAGAGGGACATAAGGACAAGAGGAGGCTGCAGAAGAGCTGCCAATGAATCCTCGTGGGTCGGGCTAATGTGCAAGAGTTTCCCAGAGTCCAGGGTTTGGTCCAGAAGGGCTTCAGGCTTGAGCCACTATGTTAGCTACCTATTGCTGCAAAACTTAGTGCCATGAACCAATAGTCATTTATCATCTCATGATTTCCAGGGACCAGGAATTCAAATGGAGCACAGCGTGCCTGATTTATCTCTACTCCATGATGTCTTGGACCTCAGCTTAAAGACACAAAGCTAGATGCTAGAATCATCTGAAGTCTCGCCTGGGGCTAGAGAATCCGTTTCCAACGTGGTTCACTCACATGACGGGCAAACTGGTACTTGACAAATTGGTTTCTTTCCACATGGGCCATTCCATAGGGCTGTTTGATTGTCCTTATGACATGGCAGCTGACTCCTTCCTGAGAAAACAACCCAAAGGACCAAGGTAGAAGCTGTAATGTGTGATATGTCCAAGCTTCAGAAGTCATACACCATGACCTCTACAGAATTCTACTAGCCATACAGTTCAGCTTTGATTCAGTGTGAGAGGAAACTACAGAAGGAAATGAACACCAGGAGGTAAAGATTATTGGGCCCAGTGTGGAGACTGGAGACCACATCCCTTTTTTGGCTCCTCACCCAGGAAAGTTGGTGAAGGAAGGGGGAATCCTTAAGAGGACTGGGGTATTTCCTCAGCAGAGCTGAGGGGTAGAAATAGTTCAAGCCTGAGTCAGATCTCCCTCATGGTTTTGAGCTATGGGAAGGCCCCACAGGGTTCTGTGCATAACTCACATGTGCCCTGTATGGAAATGTAGGCCCCACAGATGATGTCGGGAGTCAGTGAGCATAGCCACAAAAGCAGCCATGACCCTATTAAAAAGACCATCTTGGGGTGCCTGGGTGGCTGAGTCAGTTGGGCAGCTGACTCTTGGTTTTGGCTCAGGTCGTGATCTCACGGTCCTGGGGGTATTGAGCCCCATGTTGGGCTCAGCGAGGAGTCCGCTTCAGGATTCTCTCTTTCTCTCCCTCTGCCCCTCCCCCCACCGCTCTCGCTCTAGAATAAATAAATCTTTATTAAAAAATAAAAAGACCATCTTTCCCCACTGCTTTCATATTTCCCCACCTTTCTCATAAATCAGATGACTGTATATTTACGGGTTTATTTCTAGACTCTATCCTGTTCCACTGATCTGTTTGCCTATCTTTATGCCAATACTACATTGTATTAATTACTATACTTACATTATAAGTTCTGATATCTGGTAGCATAAGTCCTCCAACTTTCTTCTTCCTCTCCTGAATTGTCTTGGCTATTGCTGGCCCTTTGGATCTTCATATAAATTTTAGAATCAACTCGTCAATTTCTATAAAAAAATTCTGCTAAAATATTGACTGGAATTGCATGGCATTAGTAGATCGCTTTGAGGAGAATTTCTTTTTTTTTTTTTAAGGTTTTTTTTTTTTTTTAAAGATTTTATTTATTTATTTGAGACAGAGAGAATGAAAGGGAGGAGGGTCAGAGGGAGAAGCAGACTCCCTGCCGAGCAGGGAGCCCGATGTGGGACTCGATCCCGGGACTCCAGGATCATGACCTGAGCCGAAGGCAGTCGCTTAACCAACTGAGCCACCCAGGCGCCCTTTTTTTAAGGTTTTATTTATTTATTTCAGTTAGAGAGAAGGAGAGAGAGCAAGAGCCGGGGGCAAAGGGAGAATGAGAAATAGACACCCCGCTGAGCTGGGAGCTCGATGCGGGGGGGCCTCAAATTCCATTGTCTGCATACCACCTCCATTATTTTTGACAGTCCACACTATCAATACTGCTCTTTACAGAAAGGGAGTTGATTTAAAAAAAAAAATTTTTTTTTAAAGATTTTATTTATTTATTTGACAGAGAGAGTGAGAGAGCACAAGCAGGGGAACAGCAGAGGGAGAGGGAGAAGCAGGCTCCCCGCCAAGCAGGGAGCCCAATGCAGGACTCGATCCCAGGACCCCAGGATCATGACCTGAGCCGAAGGCAGACGCTTAACCATCTGAGCCACCCAGGCGCCCCGATTTAAAAATTTTTTAATTTATTTTTTAAAGGAAAACTTTCTATCACCATTATGAGGTGAAAATGAGTCTCTCTTAACATGTAAAGATAACTCTCAAAATAAGCATAATTAAACGTTGTTGAGTTATAACTAAGTATTGTCTGCTGAAGACGTTGAGCATGAAGCCTGCTGTTTGTTCAAAAGGTATATTTGCAAGTGTCAGAGAAGTGTAAATGACACATTGCTATCATAATTGTAATTTTACTTTAGGTAATCAGAAAGATTGGAAAGTAACTGGAAAAAGAATAATTTTATCATTCATTTTGTTGTGAATTGTAGATTCACATGTAGTTGTAAGGAATAATACAGAGAGATGACTTGTACACTGCTCAATTTTCCTCAATGGTGACATTTTGCAAAGCTATAGTAAATTACTTCGAGGATGCTGACATCAATCTTATCCAAAGTTCCTCGGTTTTACTTGTATTCATTTGGGTGTATGTATGTGTGTGTACCAAGTTCTATACAATTTGATCCCCTGTCTAGGTTTGTGTATCTACCACTACAAACTCTGTGGTTTTTTTTTTTTTTAAGATTTTTGTTTTATTTATTTATTTGAGAGAGAGAGAATGAGAAAGAGAGCACATGAGAGGGGGTAGGGTCCGAGGGAGAAGCAGGCTCCCTGCCGAGCAGGGAGCCCGATGCGGGACTCGATCCCGGGACTCCAGGATCATGACCTGAGCCGAAGGCAGTCGCTTAACCAACTGAGCCACCCAGGTGCCCCAGACTCTGTGTTTTTTTTAATGGTATGTCTTGCCCCAACTTGTCCTCCTTTAGGAACCTGGGCTGATGGAGCCAGCCTTCCTGGCATATCACGTGTTGCTGTGTCATGGGGGTGTGACTATGGAAACTATGCTCTGCCCCCCAACCAGATGTGAAATGCATTGCTTCCATTTGTGTTTTCTTAGACAAAGTCTGTCACATGGCCATGCCCTAACTTCAATGAGACCGGGAAGCATGATCTCACTATGTCCCTGAAAGGAGGAGAATTTGAATACTAATGACCACTATCACACTATTTATATATTCTTCTCCCACTGTGTGCATTGGTGAATATCCTGAAAGGGCCAGGTCTCTAATCCACTCTTGGGGGAAACGAGGCAAATAGAATACAAACAATTAGGTAGAGCCTTCAAATAACCTGATATTAATAACACTGTGGGAGGCGAGAATTCTACCATTGAACCACCAATGCCTAACACTGGCACTGTGAGAGAGTAGATCAATTTCCCTTCTCATGGGTCTTTGGAAACTATGCCTAGTGTGGGACAGTTATTTTGGTCATGTCTCTGCCTCCTGTTAACCAGGCACCAGGGTCTACCCATCTGGCCTCCTATTCCTCTCTTGGGTTCATCCTTCCTTCTACTCTAACCTCTGACCTCTGCATCCCATACAGAACCACCATTCCACTCTCCTCCCACGGCCTAGCCTCCACTCTGCTTTTCTCCAAGGTCTGCCAAGGTCATTTTTCTTTATTTTCAATGTTCCGGTCAAGTGGAACTCAATAATGAAACGTAGTAATAACAATTAATTTGATATTCAAAGGGAGATTCCAAAGAATTAACTGTTGCTTTTTTTTTTTTTTTAAATAGGCCCAATGTGGGGCTCAAACTCATGACCCCAAGATCAAGTTGCATGCTTTACCAACTGAGCCAGCCAGGCACCCCGAGGATTAACTGTTTTGAGTTTTCCTTTCCGATCCTTATCCAAATACAAAAGGAATTTTTATGTAATAATAGTAGTATAGTATACATATAATTTTTATATTATTTATTTTACCTAATATTGTCTTAAATGCATTTTATATGTTATCAAATAGTCCCTAGGCATACTTAAAGTAGCTATCACTTTTCTTTTCTCCCCTCATTATGTAAACAATATGTTCATTATTGAATATTTAAAAAAAACTAGGAATCTGTGAATAGGAAAATAAGGCATCAAAAATCACACTACCTAGAGATAACCAGCAATATATGGTATACATCATTTATGGTTTTTTGTCTATGTTTGATATAACATACTGTATTAGTTAATTTTAGAAAACATCAAAATTACCTCAAAACTCAGCAGCTAAAACAAGAATTTATTATCTCACAGTTTCTGTGGGTCAGAAATCCAGGAGTAATCTAGTTGGGTATATCTGGCTCCAATGCTCTCAAAAGGCTGCAGTTGATGGGTTGGCTAAAACTATAGTCATCTCAAGGCTTGACTTGGGCAGGGGCGTCCTCTTTGAAGCTGACTTTCTGGCTGTTGGCAGGCCCTGGGTCTGCATTGGCTTCTGTCTGCAGACATTAGTTCCTCACTACATGGAATCTCCATAGAGCTGTTCATGATATGGCAGCTGGCTTCTCCAGAGTGAGGAATGAAGTGAGAGGAAGAGAGCTGGAGAGTCTCCGGTATGGAAGACACAATCTTTTCATAATGTAATATGAAAAGTGACATTCCACCACTTCAGCTATGTTGTTTGTTACCGGTGAGTCACTAAATCCTGGCCTACACCAAAGAGAAGGGATTATACAAGGGCGTGAATGCCAGATGAGAATCACTGGGGGTTGCTGGGGCACGTAGGTGGCTCAGTCGTTCAGTGTCTGCCTTCAGCTCAGGTTATGATCCCAGGGTCCTGGGATCGAGCCCTGCATCGGGCTCCCTGCTGGGCGGGAAGCCTGCTTCTCCCTCTCCCACTCCCCCTACTTGTGTTCCCTCTCTCACTGTATCTCTCTCTGTCAAATAAAAAAAATCTTTAAAAAATAAAAAAAAAGAGTCTGCCTACTCACCGCTTATACAAAACATTATTTTGTAACCTACTTGTTTTTTGTTTATTTGAGATATAATTCATATACCACAAAATTTACCACGCACCAGTTTTAGAGTATACAAGTCAGTGGTTTCTGCTATTCTGGTATATTCACAAGGTTGTGGAAACACTACCACTTTTTTTTTTTTTTAAGATTTTATTTATTTATGGGAGTGGGAGAGGGAGTGGGAGAGGGAGAAGCAGGCTTCCCGCGGAGCAGGGAGCCTGATGCGGGACTTGATCCCATGACCCTGGGATCATGACCTGAGCTGAAGGCAGACGTTTAATGACTGAGCCACCCAGGCACCCCAAAACACTACTACTACTTCCAAAACATTCTCATCACACCATAAAGAAACTCTATGCCCATTAACACTCTCCATTCCCCTCTTCCCCAGCCCCCCAAAACCATTAATTTACTCTCTGTCCCTATGGATTTGCCTATTGTAGATATTACGTATAAATGAATATATGCAATATCTGGATATTACATACATGTATGCATATGAATTGCATACATTATGTGACCTTTTGTTTCTGGCTTCTTAGCAATAATGTTTTCAAGGTTCATCCATGTTGTAGCATGTTTCTTTCTTTCTTTCTTTCTTTCTTTCTTTCTTTCTTTCTTTCTTTCTTTCTTTCTTTCTTTCCTTTCTTTCTTTCTTTCTCTCTCTCTCTCTCTCTCCCTCCCTTTCTTTCTTTCTTTCTTTCTTTCTTTCTTTCTTTCTTTCTTTCTTTCTTTCTTTCTTTCTTTCTTTCTTTCTGTAGGCTCCACGCTCAGTGCAGAGCCCAACATAGGGCTTGAACTCACAAACCTGAGATCAAGACCTGAGCTGAGATCAAGAGTCAGACACTTAACTGACTGAGCCACTCAGACACCCCTGTACTCATTCTTTCTTACAGCTAAAAAAGATTCCACTGTATGGATACAACACATTTTGTTTATCTACTTTTTTTTTTAAAGATTTTATTTATTTCTTTGACAGAGAGCGACACAGCGAGAGCAGGAACACAAGCAGGGGGAGTGGGAGAGGGAGAAGCAGGCTTCCCGCGGAGCAGGGAGCCGGATGCGGAACTTGATCCCAGGACCCTGAGATCATGACCTGAGCCGAAGGCAGCGGCTTAACGACTGAGCCACCCAGGCGCCCCTCATTTTATCTACTGATCAGTTCATGGAAATTTGGGGGTTTTTTGTTGTTTTGTTTTTTAATTTTTTAACTATTATAAATCATGCTGCTATCAACATTCATGTGCTAGTTTTTTTGTGAATGTATGTTTTCAATTCTTTTGGTTATAAAACTGGCTGGTCATATGGTAACTCTTAAGTTTAAGGGTTTAAAATTTCTTTTTAAGGATTTAATTTTTTGAGAGAGAGAGAGAGCGCACATGAGTGGGGGTGGGGGCAGAGGAAGAAGGAGAAGCAGGCTGCCCGCTGAGCAAGGAGCCTGATGTGGGGCTCCATCCCAGGACCCTGGGATCATGACCTGAGCCGAAGGCAGTGGCTTAACCAATTGAGCCACCTGGGCTCCACTTTTTTTTAAAGATTTTATTTATTTTACAGAGAGAGAGAGAGAGAGCACACAAGCAGGGAGAGGGGAAGAGGGGCAGAATAGGAGGGAGAGAGAAAAGGAGAGAATCTCAAGCAGACTCCATGCTGAGCACAGAGCTAGAGCAGGGCTCGATCTCAAGACTCTAAGATCATGACCTGAGCCAAAACCAAGTTGGACGCTCAACTGACTAAGCCACTCAGGTACCCCAAACTTTTTGAGGAACTGCCAAACTATTTCCCAAAGCTGATGCATAATTTTACATTTCCACCAGCAATGTATGAGAGTTCTGATTTTTTGGTGTCCTGGGCAACACTTGTTATTGTCCTTTTTTTCCTTTCTTTTTTAAAAACTGTAGTCATCCTAGCAGTGGTTTTTCTTTGTGGTTTTGTTTTGCATTTCCCTAATAACTAATGAAGTTGATTATCTCTTCATGTGCTTATTATCCTCTTGTATACCTTCTTTGGAGAAATGTCTATTCAAATATGTTGTCCAGGGCGCCTGGGTGGCTCAGTTAGTTGAGCGACTGCCTTCGGCTCAGGTCATGATCCTGGAGTCCGGGGATCGAGTCCCGCATCGGGCTCCCTGCTCAGCGGGGGGTCTGCTTCTCCCTCTGACCCTCTTCCCTCTTGTGCTGTCTCTCATTCTCTCTCTCAAATAAATAAATAAAATCTTTAAAAAAATATATGTTGTCCATTTTTAAATTGGGTTGTCTTTTTTTTTTTTTTTTTAAGATTTTATTTATTTATTTGACAGAGAAAGACACAGCGAGAGAGGGAACACAAACGGGGAGTGGG